AGAAGCAAAGGTGGTGCTGGCAGCTGGCGTTTAAGTTTTGTTAAGGACAGTACATACTATCAGAGGAGGTAGTTTGGGAAGGACCCCAGTCCTGATGTAGTTTCTCTGTCACTGAACTTCTATTACCCAGTCCCCTTTGAACTCATAAATATTAACATTCGCAACATCCCTTAAATTCTACAATCTACTAACTCTTGCATGGGGAATGACATCTGTCCTATGACTTCTGCAAGTTTAATGTAACACTCCCCAATTCATGTTAGTAGAGACATTGAGCCAAGTAACCCCCATCTGATCTATGTAACCCAGTCTTACAGTCCTCTGTCATATTTCCTTATATTGTCTCCATTCTGAACTAAAGAGTTCTAACATTTTTCCAACATTTTCATTTCAGTCGAGGTAAACACTTTACCTTTTTAAGTTTCTGGTATCTTTCTTCTGGAGTGTCAAAGCCATTGGTTAATGCACTAACAGAAGGCCCATCACTGATGCCTGAAAAAATAGAACATATTTTGTTTTGGGTAAGCTTTTTAAAATTAGCCACAGCAAAGAAACGCAACAACTGTAATTTAAGAAAAACATTTTAATTTAAAGTGTGTGTTAGTATTATTTCAGTTGAGAAATATTTGCTACTACAAAAGTACGCATGTCACCATAAAAGCCACACAGTTTAATGGTAGTGTTCTAGCAGTAAAGTTCTGCTGCTCTAGTTCCTATTCAACATGACCAGCAACATGAGAAGACCTACCAGTAACATAATGCTGATGGGTCTTTACAACACAATGCAGGACCAAAGTCAACATAAAAATGGGGAGTGCTGCTCACAGATTTGTTGAATGGCACTTTAAGCAATACTTAACAACCATATTTTTATACACACCACATCTAATAAAGCTAGCTTTGATCACATTTATGCTTTAAGGTTGAGTGAAATCTGCATCCCAAAGCCAAAGCACTTACTAGGGCATCTCTGATGCATAAACCCTCTGAATTTTACAGAGCTTATAAAGCTCTTACTATCATTTTTCCCTGTCCAAACACTTGCAGGACCTCTCCTATTTATCCCAACCTCTTGCCACTGTAACACATACAAAACCTTTATTTTTTTTTCCTGAGCTACAGCTGAAAATCAATTAACATGTTAAAAGATTACTGCATGGAGGGAGTAGAAGCAGCATGAGTATGACATCTGCTTTTGCCCAAACCCTTACTATTCCACATATAAGAAGTAATTAAATCATTTTAGGGTAGCCTTTACAAGCTGACTCTGAAACGTGTTACATGAGCGAGCACGGGGACCTGGACCCCACAAAGATACCGCCAACAGTTCACAATCACAAAGCAGGTGCGACTGTACCTGAAAACTCCCCATCAATGGCCAGGAAGTCCGACTCCTCAATGGCTTCATACACTTTGTTTAGGTTATCCTTAAAATCTGCAGGTAGAGGGGTAAAGCACACCTGAGACCACTGACGGCCTCCCGCCACCCGTCAGACGGGCAGAGGCAGCACCTGCCAGCGAGCGAGGGCTGTGAGACCCCCGAGCCCGCCCGCTGCCCCCTCAGCCCTAGGGCTGTGCCCTACACGTGAGGGGAGGCGCGCGGACCCTTTCACTCGCCGAAGGCGAGAGTAAGGCTGGGCCCCACCAGCAGCCTAGAAAAGGGAAGCTGGGACACTGAGATACTGGGACGTCCTCTGCAGCATCGGCTCGGGACATCCCACCGTGACCAACGAGGTGCGACTCGACCACGGCGCAGAGAACGGCTGAGGCACTTACTGCTTCTGGTCACCTCCATCCCGCACCGGCCAGGCCCGGCGACGCCCTCAGCCTCCACCGAGCGCTGCCGGAAACCCCTCCTCCCGCCCCACTGCACGTGAGCGCTCACGTGAGCTCCCGCGGGCGGGGCGGGGCGGGACGGGAGTCGCCATCTTTGTGTGGGGCGGTGCTTGGCGTTTTGTAGTGGGGGTTCAGGGTTTGCTTTGCTGTGACTGGGTGCGGAGGCTGCAGGGCCAGTCTCGCACCGATGGGTGAGCGGCAGCAGATTTGGGGCCAATGCAACAGCCGACTATTAGGCCTGAAAAGTGGCTTGTCCCAGCCGCCAAGCGGAGAAGCTGTAAGGGGGCCACTGGAAGAAAAGGCTGACAGAGCTGCTGGTTTTGGGGATGTTTTGAAATGCTATACGTGAGAAAACGCCGCCTTTTCCTTTCAGACCAGAAAGGCAGAACTAGCACCAGCAAGAAAGAGGGGATAGGAGTGTGTGAGAACATACCAGGAGCATAATGTAGAACTGCGGTGGTTGTGCCTTAATAGTGGATAGTCCTAGAGAACTTGTAGGCTTCAGGTATTGCGGAAGAAGCGTTTGTGTTCCTGTTAAAATGATAAACCCATCACTGTCATACGACATTGCAGAATAACTGTAAATAAGGCTCAGTGACCAGCAAGGTGACTGCGCATGTGTGCTGCGGAAGGGAACAACTGCCCAAGAGATGAGGTGTTGCACAGGAGCAGAAAGAGCAGTTGTGGGCAAGGACAGCATGCACAGTTCAGTGTATGTGCTGCGGGTTGAGAGTTCAAACAGGTGAATTTTCTCCAGAATTCCAGCAGAATAAAAACAAATGGAAAATTCTACATTAATTTTGAGGTAATGTCTATATAGAATATACAGAATTAAGCAGACTGAGGAGAGAAAGCTGCTCAAGATTCTTCAAGATTTAGTTTTTTGTCTCTTTAAAGTATAAGCAATGTATTCTACAGGCTTTTCCAGCAAATAATCGATATGATTAAATGGTGCTAAGAGGTTAGTTAAAGTAGTAGCAGAGGTTTTTCTCTTTTGCAGTAAATCAGCTGAAGCCTAAAATCCCTATTATTGTGTAATTTTCCTTAATTAGTTTTCTGCTTGCAAGTCTTTATTGTCAAGAAGTGTTTTGGAAGGCATACATCTTCACTTCCATTTAGTTTCAGAAATTTTTTTGCCAAATGAAAGTACCTGCTTGGTTCCCTTCCATGTATATATTAAAGCAGCTGCACTGAAGAGTTGCAAACTGTAACTTAACTACACTTATGATTTACAAGCTATAGTTTGTAAATCAGAGTTCTTAAAATCTCTCAATTTTTAAAGTTACAGCAGAAGAGCTTGGCTGCTTTCCATGTTCCTGGCTGCTCTTGGGAGAGAGCAATACACGCAGCTAGTTACAAGGCTCCATTGCTTTTAAGTTTTAAAAACTAGAACAAAAAGTCTGCATCTCCACAACATCACGTAGCCTGCAGCGCAGCCTGTATCAGCCACTTCTGTATGTTCTGCTACCTTACTGAGTACTGAATGTGAAGCTAAGTGAAAACACACCAATAAAAGTACCAAACCCCTAGATTCTAGAACAAGACCTAAATATTTTGGACCACATTTTCATCTAGGTCTAGGTTAGGTTCCTCTGATATAGAAGAGGTTTGATACTTTCATGCTAGAGTAGCTTAAGGATTAGCTGATTGGGATTTCAAATATTTAAGTAAAACTACAAAAAAGTCTTGAAATGGCATGTACACTTGAGCATAAATGCCTGTTTATTCCGTGTTGATAGGAAGTTGGAGAACTTTTCAGCTATGTGGTTTTCTGTCCTAAGAAATCTGATTAGTGTAGTTCGAAAGCAAAGAACACAGCTATGTATGGGTTAGCAGAGTAATAATTGTATTCTGGAGAAATCTGGGTAATATAGGAGGGGAAACAGAGACTAATGTTTTTTTACTGAAATAGGCTGGAATAATTAAACGGTTAATTATTTCGGTTTGATAACTGAAATGGAACTGGACTGTCAGCTTGTGTCAAATGAACAAAAACTTTCAGAAAATGTTGCACAGTGGGAAAAAAAGCATCTCTACTTAATCACTCAATTTTCTTTGGGCTCTTGTCAAAAAGAAATGCAGTAAGGGAACAGAACAATAATAAATAATTGTGGATGTGTGTATATATAGATATATGTCCATGTGGTAAAAATAGACTATGAACCAACCTGGTGCAGTGCGTGGTAGCACTGCAGCCAAGCTAGCATCTGAAAATCTCATTTACTTCTGAGATGAGACTTTGACTTGTAAAACAAAGATGAACAAAGTTGCTGTGAAGGAATGTCACCTGGGTGCGTAGGCATACATTCACCAGACGTATGCACTCGCGCATGTGGAAGTGAGCGTATTAAGAAAAATGCGTATGCAGTAGTGTTCCAGTGCGGTGATTTTAAAAGCTTTGAAACACGGCGCTTGCAGGTAAAACCGAAGCAGACTCTGCTTACACTGTACGTGTCGGTCCGCCGGGTGCCGCCGCCCAGCACAAGGGCAGACCGCGGTGTTAAATTCCACCCCCCACACACACCTCGCTCCGCAGCCTCCCACGGGCCTGTGCAATTTCCCTCCGCAGCCCGGGACGGGGAGGGCGCAGCAAGGCAAATCCGTCCGGTGGGACGATGCCCGCCGCGGCTTCTCGCGGGGTGCTGGGACGATCCACGGGAGCTGCGGGACCCTCCCCAGCAGCGGGGGCCGGGCGCAGCGGCGCGGCCCTTCCCTTTCCTTGTGTGCGGGCCCTGGTCGCCAGGGGGTGAGTCGGGCGGCTGGGCACTGCACGGTCCGGCGCCGCGCCTTCGTTGCGGGCGGTGGGGCTGAGGACGGACTGGGCCCGCGGAGCCTCCGCTCCCGCTTGCGGCCTGGGGGTGCCCGAGCCGCGGCTCTTGGGAGTAGGGGTGGGCTGGTGACGCCTCCGCCGTGGACCTGGTTTGGTCTGGGGGACTGGCAGAGACCGGTGCAGGCCGGTGCATCGGAGCTTTGGAGGGACAGGGCCGAGGCTAGAACGGGGAGGCAGGACAGGGGCCGGTGAGCCTTCCACTTGTGACTCTTAATTTGGTGCAGAGACTGGTGAAATTACTTTTTCACCTACAGAAATTCCTTTGCGTCTTTCTTCCAGGAAAACAAGAAGAATGTTTTGGGTGCCAGACCTTGGGTTTTTTGGAGGGTTTTGCGCTTCTTTTAACTGATGTTTCAGGTTTGTCTTGGAAAGCCAGCAGTCTTTGCTTTACTGGGAAAAGACTGACTCAGCAGTCTGGGGATCCCGGTTGCACTATCGGTTTGTATTTCTGTACTGCTTGTATTTTTTGTTTATTCGTTACCAGTTTGCATATTTACCTCTCTGTGCTTGATCTGAGTGGAAAGATGGTAACTTAGTACCAAGCAGAAGCCACGTGGTGGAGCGTGTAAATATTTTGGTTTGGTAGTGCCAGAAGAGAAAATTGTCCTTTTTGATAGCTGCTAACATACCGTGACTGATGAGTACATGATCTGGATCAGAGTTTTTCTTAAGAAACTAGGTTCAGCAATCTCAGAGAATATAATAGGAACGTCAGGCAAGTAGGTTTAATAGTTTGATAAGCTTAGAACAATCTTAAACTCTTCTAACTCGTACATTTTCTGTAATACTAGCAAAGAGTAATTACTGGTAAAGTGGCACAAAGTTCACTCCTTCAGAGAGATGCAAGGAGATCAATCCCTTATAATGCTGTAATGTATGACTTTGTGGATTTTTTTTTTGTGTGTGTATTTTTTTTTAACATTGCTCAGCAATGTCCAGCGTTGACCTTTGTTAGTAATGTTTTATTCCATGTGCTTGGAAAGAATAGTGAGGAAGTAAATTACGTATACTGGTGTTTTGGTTTTTTATTCTCTGATGGTATTTTTTAATGATAACTTCTTTTGATTAGTGTCTTTTACTAAAACTGTTTAAAAATAACCGTCAAAAGTCATCTGAATCATAGTTTTTTGTTTCACTTTCATGTGTTCTGTAACACAGGAAACATAGGGAGATTGAGCCCTGCTGTTTACATGTAGAATCGGATTTTGATTGTAGCTTGCAATGAATATATTGTTGAAAAGGTTGAAGGTCATGTTTTATTTTTGGGAGAGCTAAGTTATTTAAAACCATCAGAGCAACAAAAAATGACAATGATAAATTATACTGCTTGCAATTCTGATCTTTCTTGAGGAGGTTTATCTTGTTGCTTTGCAGAAGTAATTCCTTACCTGCTTTGAAGATCTAAGAGAGCTTTCTGTTTGCATAAGACATAAAAGAAGATGGAAGAAGATGAGACTTTGCAAGGTGAAACAGAGAGGGCAGAGGTTGAAACACGTGCTGCTCCTGAGGGCAGTCGGCGGATATCCGTGAGTGAATTCCTTTGCCACTGCTGTTACGACATTATGGTCAATCCCACCACCCTGAACTGTGGGCACAGTTTCTGTAGACATTGCCTAGCTTTGTGGTGGGTGTCATCCAAGAAGAATGAATGTCCTGAATGCAGAGAAAAATGGGAAGGATTCCCCAAAGTCAACATCTTGTTTAGGTGAGTATACTGTGCCATTTCTGGATTTCTAAAACCCTCAGAACTCGTCTGGTTTCTTGAGTTTGCTACACATTTTCATAGTTTATTGGTAGTCCAGACTGTCACAGGTATGTTTAAATCCTGAAGTTTCTCATGTTCTGCACCTGTACTGATCTGTTCAAGCACACTTTTCTGCATGGAACTAAGGGGTGGCTGTGTCTGGGGCTTTGGGTTTGTTTTTTTTATTTTATCCTGATTTTTTGGGGGTGATGGAGAGAAGGGATCCTTATTCGGTATTGAAACATTTGCATCTTTTATATATAGCTGGTTGTTTCCTAATAATTCTAAGTTAGAGTGATCTTTGCTAATTGTGTATTTACTTCTGTAATAGGAATTATCTATGGGAAGAAATGTGATCTGATTGCAGAACAAAGCTAGAAATACCAGTTTGCTGTCGTGAATTACCCACAAGTTCTTGTGTTAATAATACCTAAAATAGTTAGTAATATTTTAGTAAATAGATTGTAGAATTGATGGTAGGATTTTATGTTGTCTTTTACTTAGCATATTTGTATAAGCAAAGCTTGCCAGTGGCACACACAGTCCTAGTTTATATAAGAAAGAAGGATTTTTTTTAATGCTGTATTTTAATTTCCTCTGTCTTTAGAAGCTAAGAAAAATGTTATTTGGAAATAATTGATTTAAGTCTGCTAAGTATTAATAATTAATGTTTTCTTGCTTTCAAAGATGACAGTCTTAAGTAGAGGTTGGAAAACAAAACCCACCAAATACATCACTTTTCTGAATATTAAGCCTCAGTGGTTATAGTACAGTGACAAATATTTTTCCCATTAGGGATGTTATTGAAAAGCTATTTTCTGATGCCATTGAACAAAGAAAAGAAGATATTCTACAAAACAGTGATGTAGCACGCAGCTTAGCAACCTTCCAAAAATATGGGAATGACCAGATGCCTACAGTTCGGAACACAGGAAGAATTAATCCTCAAGGAGGAGGTTTTTTCTCAGGCGTTCTGACAGCTTTAACTTGTGTAGCAGTAAGTTTCATCTGGTTGGTTTTCCATATTTACTTCATTAAGCATGCGCGATCTGGTATACTTGAATTACATGCACATACAAAACATCGTCAGCACAGAACAGGCTTCAGCTGAACGGAGGAAATAAGGTAGCATTCAGGGTTGTCTGAATAACCTGAATAGTCTAGGGTCCATGAAATGGAAGATTCTACATGTCAAGCCACTTAATGCTTGTTTATTTGTATCATTAGTATATTTGCTTTGTAGGTAAAGGATAACTCTCTTTTTATTATTTTTTAATCTACTTATAGGTAGTTCTACTCGGATATCACTGGAGCAGCAGAGAATTTGAAGAAGATCATCTTGTGCACAAGCCTGTTGCTAAATGGACTGCTAAGGAAGTGATAATTTGGCTAGAGCAGCTGGGCCCATGGGCTTCACATTATAAAGAAAGATTCCTACTAGAGAAAGTGAATGGAAGGTAAGAGGCCTGATTGTGAAGAGCACCTATCATTTATTTGATTGGACTACTGGAGAGGTTTTGTTAGGGATGGTACACTATGAAATGACCATACTTTGCTCTATAGATTGAGGGAATATTCTGTTGATGTTTAAAGAGTAAAATTCCAGGCAGGTTTTAACACTTGTAGTTGAAAACTTTAGTAGTAGGTACTAAGCAAGGTAACTGAAAATTTTGTACGAGCTACTTTAAATTCTGACAATGCAGAGTGTAGTGGTACTGAAAGTAGAATTCTAATATATTATCCACCCCTCCACTTTTTCTTTCTTGTGAAAATATGCAAATTTTATATGCATTGTTGTATTCCACTGAAGAGCTCTGGGTTTGATTTCAGGAGACCTGACCCAGTATGTGAAGTACTGAAGAATTGTGTTCAGTAGCCAGCCAAGAAGCTGGTAATTTTGCATGCTGAAAGCAGGCAAGAAAAGCATGAGGGATGTCTAAAACACAGGCTCTGAGATGCAGTTGATTTAGGACACTTGATACGGAGTGTAATGATGATCTTTAAAGTCCCTTCAAACCCAGACCATTCTGTGGTTCTGTAATTCAAAAGGTGATGCCTTCTTCTATCAGTCGCTTATTGTTTCAGTATGTAATGGCTAATTTGTAGTTGTATCTTTTTGGTGAAGAGTTACTGTTTACCTTCTGAATTCTTTTGCTTTTGTAGACTCCTCCTAACACTGACAGAGGAGGATTTCACAAAAGAGCCTTACAGTATAGAGAACAGTAACCACAGGAAAGCTATTATGGCAGAACTGGAACGTGTGAAAGCTTTAGGTGTTAAACCACCACAGAATCTTTGGGAATATAAGGTAAATTTTACTTAAAGCCTGTCATGTATGTTAAGTATTTTTAAAATATCTTTAAATAAAAATTCTGTTAAAGTCAGGAGGAATGTTAAGGTAGTAGAGTTATCCTTGTGAAAACAGCTCAGTTTACTGAACTGTTGTATTTGAAAAATGATCCTTTGAAAAATAATTGTCAGAAAAATCTTAAGAACTGGCACATCCCTTTCATTTTATCTTTTCATTGTTTGAAACAATAATTTGATATCTTTCAGGCAGTAAATCCAGGAAAGTCACTTTTTCTTCTGTATGCACTGAAGAGTTCTCCAAGACTCAGTATGTTATACCTATACTTGTTTGATTACACAGAAGCTTTCCTACCTTTTATCCACACAATTTGCCCCACACAAGAAGACATGTATGAAGATACTGTCACAAAACTAATAGTAAGTGTTCAAAACATTAAACATACCACTTGCTTTAGTTGTAAGCATTTTAACATAGCAGCATAAAAACACATGATATAATTATGCACCATTTCATCTCTGTACAATACAATTTTAAAGAAAAAATGAATGTAAATGATTCCTTGATTTTACTGTATGTGATCACCAGTGTTGTGACCATTACCTTTAGTAAGACTGATGTAAGGCTCTTAAGACTTTAAATCTATGAAACGGATTGATTATTTTTTTTTTTTTTTAATTTACATGGCTGTAGAAAGGCTGTTCACTCAAAATATCTGTATTTTAGCAAATGGCATTGTAAAGTCTGGCTGGCTGTGGTGTTTTATCTAATGAAAATTACAGGGTTATAGTATTATCTACCAGAAAGGATTTCATACATTGAAATTACTGCTTTCAGTGTATGAAAAAACCATTTTTTTCAACAAAACTGTAGTGGAAATAAGCCAGTATTATATCTGTTTAATATGAAATTGATTAATAGTCTTTTAATCTTAATTTACAGGATCTTCAAGATCCTTCCTGGAAACAGTGGAGAGAATTCATTGTAAAGTATTTATTTTTGCCATACCAGTTGATAGCGGAATTTGCTTGGGATTGGCTGGACGTGCACTACTGGACATCAAGATTTATAATTGTAAATGCCATGTTGCTCTCTGTTCTGGAATTATTCTCCTTTTGGAGGCTCTGGTCAAGAAGAGAATTGAAGTAAGTCTTACTGAGCTTGTTACGAGGGTAGGAAGCACGTGGCTGTATAAATAGAAAGCAACAGTCTTGCAATTTGACAGTTACCCACTGTAATGACAGTGTCTAACCACAACTCTGAGGTTAATAAGAACATGTGAGTCTGAATCCACATGTACACTAGTACTCACTCTTGACTATACTTCTTTGAATGCTTGAAAGGGCTTCTTATAGCTGGTTTTAGTGATCAGATGTAGCAAATACAGTAATGGTAATAAGCATGTTCTTAACCATTGGGTAAATATTAACTCTTACCTTGAGAATTGCCTTTTATGGTCACTGGTATTATCTCTCAGCTGAGAACTAAGTATATATGAATTTTTTTGTTAAATGCATACAATATAGTTATTAAAGGATGAGTCCTCAGGATCATGACTAAGTTTATTACACTGATATTTCTGATAGGGGATTGTAACTGTTTTCAGTTACTGCTTTCATTCAAGCTGTTAATATTACTTCATACTTGCTGTTACAGTTTTTTAGAGCTGGCAAAGGAGAAATTCTTGTTCTGTTGTATACTGGGTTTTCACCTTATGTGCCAGCAGCTAGGGGGCAGAGCATGTACAAAAGAGAGGGGGATGCATGGAAATAATCTGGGATCAACCACTTTTAACTTGCTGTGCTTTGTGGTCTGAATAAATTGATTTAATGCTTCCTCATACAAAATCTAGTATTACTGTACCTTAAGAAAGCTTTTTCTGGAGTGCAAAACGGTGTTTTACAGGTACCCGAGCAAGGGCTAAGTAACTTGCAGCTGTAGCACATTCTAGCTTTTCTTAGGGTAAAAGCAAAATGAAAAGCTCCTCTAAGCCTCTCCCTTTCCTTTTTCACAGGACTGTTCCTCACAGAATGTGGAGACATTTCTGGAAAGCCTTAACCCAGGGTCTTTTTGTTGCCATTTTTTGGCCTTTCATTCCTCAGTTTGTCTGCAATTGTTTATTTTACTGGGCCTTGTACTTTAACCCAATTACAAACATTGATCAGGTGGTTAAAGAAGTAAGGCGTCATGAGACATAAGTGCAGTGACTGGTATTGGAACTTTTGAGCTCTTTAGTTTGTAAAAATGGACTTGAAATAAACTCTGCTTTTCTTCTTTATATATGTGGCAGTGAAAGTGGTGGATTATGTTAATTTAAACATACAGAAAAAAAAGCCCTAAGATAAGTTACACCCAAAGCTGATTCCAAATCAAAGGATGGGCTTTATTATCCAATAGTAATTTTCAATGGGGAAAAAATAATTACATTCCTGATTTAGCCATATAAAACTTAAAACAGTCATGTCACTCTATTTTACATCAAATCAAACTTACCTATTTCATCTTGAGCATTCCAGTTATTTTCAAGCTTGCCTTAAAATGAGAGTTTTCTGAAGAGCTACTGTGTGTTCCTCAACTTCAATATGCCAAAGGAAAGCTCTTCCTGGATAGGCTTGATACTGAAAGTACTTCAGTGTTTTCAGCTTTCTATGTAAAGATGTGACTGTCAAATACGCAGTCTCAGAGCAGGGAATTCTGAAATTCCTGTTGTTGAAGGCAAAGACTGCTTGAGTTTTCTTGTCCTCTGGAAAATGTGATCCAGATCGGTTAGACTTCATCAATAGTTTCTTTAATGAAGATTAGTTTGGGAAAGTGACCTGACACATCTTACTGCAGTATAATGTGTGTATCTGGATCTATGAGCAAATACTGACTGGAAAGTTTATTTTGTGTAATCAGAATTGCCATTTGTTAGTGTATGGTTTTTGATTGAAGCAAAAGTTAGATTTTTATTTTATTTTTTTTTTAAAGAGCTTTGTCCCCTTGCATTCTCCATCGGTTTGCTTTTTTTGATTGGTTGGTTTTGTTGTGTTTGGGTTTTTTTTCCCTCATTTGTGTCATTAATATGAATTTTAAATTCACATATGAATATTTTTAAAGATTAAAGATCTCTTCTGAAATCTTCATCCTTCCTAAAGACATGTTTTGGTTTTATTTATATTGAAGTACTTGTCATTAGCTACGACTTGTGCAAATTTGTGTAGCCCTGCATGTTTAAGTTGAGGTGGGTGAAAGTAGACATAAAACACTCCTGGTTCTTGAACAGTTAAGATGAGCAGTTATGAAAAAGTGTATTATTCATCAATTCATATTACTGATTTCTTTTCATAAGAGAAAAAAACTAAAAAGTGACCCTAGCTGAAACCTCTGTACATCCTTATGAGGTATATGCACTTCTGAACTTAACAGAGTCATGCTGTTCAAACACAGAGAAGGCAGTTGATTCCAGTCACTGCTGCTTTTTTGCATTCTTCTGTCTTGGTGATGGTTTATATTTGCACTTTTAAATCTGGCTCTGAAGTTTTTAATGAAATTGTAGAACTTCTCCCTGTGCCCACAGGATACTTGAGGTGCACATAGAGTAAGAAGCTGGAACCATATGGAATGAACTTCTTAGAAAATTGCATTTGAAAAGTAAATACTAGAAAAAAAGTATTAAGATTTTTAATTCATGTAGGACTAAGGTAAATAAGACACAAGTTCAGTTAGGCTTTTATAATAAGCATTTAATATAGATGAGGGGGGTCTTCGTGCTGACACTGTCACTTCATGCCTTTCTTAATGGTCAGTTCAAAGTTAACAAACGTTTAGGTAAATGTTAGTACAAAAGTTTGATTTTTATCTTACAGCCTGTGGAGTTTACAGTGAATGATGTAATGAGTCTGAAAAATCTGTGAATCTGAATATAAACAATTGATTTTAAGTCAGTTACTCAAAAAACTCAGATTTCTATGTAGTCAGTAAGGACTTACACAACTGATGACCTTTTAGTCTGTGCGATGTAGAAGGTAAATTAGAGGGTACATGTTTACTTTCGCCATTCTAGAGCGGAGAGGCTGAGGTGTCAGAAGGAGGATCAAGAAGGGGGAAAATCATTTGTTGTCACTACTGTGACTCAAAAAAAAAGTAATTTAGATTTAAATACATACAGAGTTTATTTCATGAAGACTGATGTCATACATCTAATACCTACACAAAGGCTGGATCTCACCACACATAAAGTCTGGCCATAAAAGGTGTTTTGTATGATAGGGAGCTTTAGAAAAACATTTGGCAGCTTCACGGTCACATTCACACGCCATTTTTTGACATTTGTCTTCTAGCGATTCTGAAAGAAAACACAGTAAGTTTATTGTTAATCTCAAGTAATTAAAAATACCAAATGGAATACCAAGAATTGCTACCTCATGTTCCATATTTGCCATATAAATGGTTCTTGTATTTCAGGTGCAATAGGAACTGCAGCAAGCTTTAGTAAGTCTTACAGTTCTTTTGTGTTCTTTAGATAGAGCTCCATGCTAGAACATCTCAGCAGCAGAGAATATACAAGCATGGTTTAGTTTAGTAATGGTTGATAATCACAGCAACTGTCTTGGCAGGTGAAAATACAATAATAACTGGATAAAGACTTAAATACCCTTCTCATGTTCTTCAATGAAGGAACTCTGATAGCTGATTCCTTTTTAGAAAGCGGTATGTGACCCTCCCTGATCACCCTGTTGCTCTAGTGAAACCGGAATTTTGGAAGATATTTTCCATTTCACATATACTTTAATCTACTAAATGATGTCACATTTGAATTATATATATGAAATAAGGGATGCAAAGATATTCGCTGTTTAAAATTGCCCAACTCTTTCTATTAAGGCATTCAGTAATAAGTTAGGTAAAGTGTGCTTAAGAACGATAAAATCCATGTCTGGTCATATTTGTTTTATAATTTTAGTGTTGTAACTTAACAGATTCCTTGGCATGAACATTTCTTCTTGGCATGAACATTTTCTTCTACAGCAATATATTTTGGTTTTATTGTGCCAACCCAGAAATGTGTGCATTTTCTCTATGCAACTGTCTGTAAACTGAAGAATCTTTAATTGTATTTTGTCTGAGTATTTAACATTTTAAAAGCTTAGCTAAATCTCTCCTTGAGATTTATCTAGGAGCAGAACAAACTGTCAGTTTTGTGAATGAACTCGAAGTCTGCTATGGAAGTTCTTAATATATATATGTTGAAGCTGCAACTGGCTACCCTTAGAAGTACTCAATAGCGTAAGAAGCATAAACAACATGACTGAATAAAAAAAACCCAACAAACTGTAACTGAGAAAAATTATTCTTTCTCTTGTTACTGCTTGAAACTTGATCTGTCTTTGCCAGTATTTTAAAATATTGTCAGCTTCTAGACTGGAACAGGAGCAGAAGCTTTACAGCCAGATGCAGGTGGACTGTAACTTGACAGTTAATTAGAGAAGACATGTAGTACTTATGCAGTAGAGGAGGAAATTGACCAGTAGAGATTCTGCTTGAGGTAGACCCTAAGCAAAGTAAAGAGTGAATGGAAGGGAGGAAATGAAATAGTGTCTAAACCTTAATTTTACTTCAGGGCAGGCAAATTCTAAATTGAGTTATGAAATGAGAGGGTTTTGAGTTTTCTCTGAACAGCCTACTGTGTTGCCTTTAAACTATGGTAGTCAGAAACTCAGACTCGTAAACAGGTTTACATGAGGGGCTGTATTTTTGTGGAGCACAAAATAACCAATTCTCAAGCTGATTTGCATTCCAGGTAGTAGCATGCAAGGTAACTGACCTAGCACCTGATTTGACAAAAAACCCCAAACAAATCCCAAAACCTAACAACTAAGAAGAAAAAAAACCTGCAAATTTGGGGGCTTGTGAGAAGTTACAGTTCAAAAAGCCTTTGAAGTGTGTTGGGAAATATTTTCTAGAACTCTGGAAATTATGAACAATTAATGTAAAAGAAATGCTGCTTTTTCCTTTTAAACACATTTTTGTTTGTTTCTTTGAGGTCTCTTTCTCCTTTTCTTTCATACTTACAGCATGGCCAGTATATTAAATTCATATTTCGGAGTAATTGAACAAAATCTATCAGGATGTGGTCAACCATCTGTTGCAACTTATATGCTAATTATATAAATAGTTTCAAATTAACATGTTATGGCTTGTTCCATAAATAAACATAGCCATCAAATATTTTATTACCTCACTGTTTGAAATTGGAAGTTGTAATTGTGAATTCATTCATCAGTTGTAGCCACTAGCAGTGGGCTGTGTAACTGATCAGTGGTAACTATGTAAAAAACTTGTCCATCATAGACTTAAAAATGGTGTGAAATATCTGCTAAGTATAAAGGATCCTTTTAAACAGTTGTAATTTCCTGTTTGTAGCCGTGCGCTTTTGTTTTTGACCTGTGGGGGGTAGCCTAACATGGGTTCCTGAACGTGTAAAAGAGAGGATTTCTGGTAGTGTGTCATGCAACGGTAATAGAAGCTTGTAGATAAGAATCTCGTTTGCTTTATGTATGTCAGTAGGTGGGGATTAGAAGAGGAAACTGCATTAAATTGGTTGGCATAGCTGTGCTTTCTGGAGGCAGAGAGTAAAAAAAGTTGTGAAAGAAAGGAAGGTGAAATAAGAATTTTACAGTTAATTAAAAAAAAAAAAGGTTTTCTATTTAATCAATGAGACAAATGGGAGAAGTAAAAAAGGACAAACAAAACTACCTCCCTCCCCCCCCCCCCCCCAAAAAAAAAAAAAAAACAGATCACACAAACCCCCCAGCTAGGACTGTTCACTCACCACACACAGCAGTGTTGTCTTCACATTCCCAGTGGTAACTTTCTATCTTGGGGTGACAACCTGCTTGTTCTGCCTTGCCGTAGCAGCAGTCATGGTTAAAGCAGCACCTGAGAGTGATAGAAATGGGTTTGCCTTAATTCAGACTCTGGTGATTTATGGCCATCTAATCTGAATGTTTATCATCAGCATGTTTCTACAGGCTGTGAAATGATAAAACAGTCAACATAGGTGAATGTACAAACAGTTACCTGCCCAGGAAGCAGAACAGGGTAATTGTTTAATAGATCACCTGGAAAAATTATTGCTCTTTCATGTAATTGATGATAATGTCTGATATACATTGATCTAGTTGAACTTCCTTATAGATGAAAGTACAAGGAATCTATGAAGCATTCTCCATTTAAACACAATAAACTTTTATGTGAGTGGAACTCTCTCCTAGCCCTGTCCAAGAAAAGATGAAAAAACAGAATAGTCTGCCAGATAATGAATGATGTATTTTTCCGGCAATTATAACAGTTTCTGGCAGTTGTAACAGTTACAGGAAGGGGACAAGATTTGTTGGGCTGTAGCATACGATCATAAATGTTGTCATATAGGAAAGGCCTTGGTAGCAGAAAAGCTGAAAGCAGGTGAAATGTTCAGTAAGGAATAAGCATGGGTGCTCTTTAATGCCATGTTAGAACTAAAACTGTTGCTGCAGTATCATGAAAGAATTTGGAAAAAATGCCCAAAATGATGGTTTCAAAAATTGTTCTTGTTACAGTTGGATCAATGAATTAATTCATAGACTTTCTGTCACAGGAAAGCATTAACGGTGTATTTTAAAGCTTAGAAAAAAACTATTCTTCATTGCAATCCCAGTATACCAAGTAGGGGAGGTAACAAAGACCTGAAATTAGCTAGCTTGTAAGGTCTTGTTACAAAGTAACTATACTCTTTCTTCTTTGACTTGGTGGAAGAACACCAAGGTGTATCCACAAACACTTCCTGTTCAGTCATTCAGTTTCCTCCTGGTAGTCTACTACAGTAGGCCCGTGATGTTTAGGTCGTGTTTAGATTGCCTGAGGAATTTGTGTCTGCAATAGAAAAGTTAATGCTGTGAGCTCTCATTTTAACTACTATTCTGTCCTACGCTTATTAAATAATTACTGGGTAATTCCACATGAATTGCCATTTACAGATCCTGTGGTACATAACAATGGAAAAGCATGTGCTTGTGAAGTAGTGTAGTTCCATTTCATCCATAGAAATAAAAAAATGAATCTAGTGAGTCTTTGTAGCAGTACTGGGATAAATAACCCAGGAGATGCAACTGCTTTTGCTAGTGTGCAGTTTATCTTCATGTGTTTACAGCAATTTTTAGAATTACTTTAGTCCTCTTTTAAGCATTTAAAATGAAAATAGATTCTTAAGGATTTTATATTTTAGCTTATGAAAGCAGTATATGATTGTCCCCATTTCAAAGGAGTTTTTGTAAGTGGCAGGCAAAAGCTATGATTGGAATAATTCCATTGGTGATATTTTTACTTCAGATTAAGTATTTCTGTATTTCTTAACTTGTTTTCGGGCATTCTAAATGTAAACAGTTCACGATGTATATCAAAACTTTAAGAAGTCAGACTTGGTAAGAAAGTTTGTGTCTACATTCAATCCTTGATTCTGGTCAAATGCAGTAGATAGAGTAAGAACACTGGCTTCTGGCTTGTTCTTAACATTCTGTAGCTGTTAAAACCCAGACCACAAATAGCTAACCATGTTTTGTGAAGAAGCAGCTTATTGCTGCTGTGGGATTTACTACAATGTGGAAAAATGGCCTACAGTGAAAGATCAGCAAACTGCAGATTCTCCATCATTATCTTTAGTGATACAGATGAAGTAATAATAGTCCCTTCTTTTCATGTGTGTTCCCAGTAGCAACTACATTCTCCTAAGTTGTCTTTAAAATAACAGATTGCACAACCAGAAATTTGAAATATGTAGGGTAAGATTCTAGAAGTTTTAGGTCTAATCCCAACTAGAATCCTTATTAAAAATTGATTTGAACTTTCCTTATATTCTACCCTAAAGAGAATAGTTTGAATGCTTGAGCTTTAAAGCTTCTACAATTAGACTTTAGTTCTTCAGCTTCGGCCAAGCAGCAAAAGCAAAGAACGTCAGTTGTACTGTGAATCCAATATTAATGCAATAAGAGTTTGAGTTAAAGGCAAGTAGGTCTCACACAGATCTACAGGAACATAATTTTACTGCCTCAGAGTTTCTTAGTGGTCTGAGATGTGTTTAAACTCAATTCCCTCACTGGTGTTAAGTAGGCCTAATTCATACTGTAGTCCTTTTACTCTGCCATGTGCATACATTCAGCAGTTAATTACTCACGTAAATAGTTAGCTCTTACCAGTCTACTCCGTCCTTGGGCCATCCTCTTCCTCCCAGACCACAGTAGCATCCATAGCGTAAGTAGGCAAAAGGAGATCGACCTGTAGTACATCTAATGGCTCCAGCTAATTCAAGTATTCCTCTTCGATTTCTAAAACGGGCTTCCCCAAGAGTGCCTTTATAAACTGTGAAAGAAAACCTTTTATTTTTTTATTGAATCAAACCTGCAGATACAAAATTGAACTTTGATAATGAATGTCCATACTCAATACCGTGTTCTTGTTGGTGCTTGGCGTCGCACTGCTTGACCCAGTCCCTTTTTACCCCCACCTATAGTGAGCAGAACACTGCACAGCATTCTGAATAGCTGCAGTGATTTCTTCTCATCAAAGCAGCATACAACAGCAGACTTAAGTCATTTCCAGTCTTAAATCTGGCAAGGGCTAGCATGTGTTCTGGGGTCTAGGTCCACTAATCTGCTACAATTAGATGTCCTAAGCCTTGTGGTATTTTCTCCTTATCACAACATGCAACTTTGCCCATTTTCTAAAACGTAATGCTTTACATTTGAACAAATATGTCCTCTCTGATGGGGTTCTGGTTTTCATCATTTATAGACAATGCAAAGTAACTGACAGAGGTGGTGGGGCAGGTGCAGAGCAGCGAAATGGGTGGGTGCTTGAAGTTATTTCCAGGGTTGTCTTTTTAATATTTATATTTTTTGTATTATAAGAAGGGTTACCTTTTTTATTTTTATTGTTTCATTTTGTTTGCATGTAGTTGTTGTTTAAGGGATTCTGGTTATTCTTTCTCCAGAGCAAGACTGTATTTAGGCACTTTAACTATTCTGTATCAGTATTAAAGTAGGTCCAGAGCAGAAGATAAACACTGAGGCACCAGATGACTTTTTTTTAGGACATCATGTCATCCTTCAGGTTGAGATAATGCATCAAAGACCTTTCATGGTAACAGGCAGCATTTCCTTGTAGTCCAGGCACCAAGGTATTCCCATCATTTTTTAAGAAGTTGGATGAGTACTCAACAAATGAGTGGGTTAATCAAGGCTGCTGATTAGAGTTCTCTTAGTAATTAAACTAATGATTTGATATGAGGGGAACAGTTTATAAATCTTAACTCTCAGTACTGGATACAGATTGGGAAGGACATTAACATTTAATAACACGTAATGTCTGTGTGCGAGAGAGCAGAAAAAACATTTAGACTTTGTCATTGAAGGCTTTGACATTTCTTTTCCTACAGAATAACTGTATGATTATACAGTTTGTATATAATCTGTATAATCATGTAATCTATTATAATAGACTAATAGACTAATCTATTTTAATAGATTCTGTAATTAACTATATAATCAGTTAATGGAAGATCTGACACAAAAACACTGTTTCCAGCACAGTTTAGTAACTTGAAATACGTGGGACGCTGGTGATCTCCAGCACTTGTAATTTCATGAAACAAAGGGATTTAAACACCTCATTAAGAAATAAAATTGCTTTTTTTCTGTGAGAATGGTAAAAAAGGCTTTAGAAAGAATGTAGGTAATCCTTACTTATGAAAATAGCTATGCTTCCTAAGACAGTATTTATTACTTTTCTGACTGGAGATGACTCCCGGATCCTGTTCCCTCCTGCTTTGTGGGCAGGTGATGTAGGGAGAAGATGTTGAAACAAAAGTGGTTTAATTTGCACATGTGTTTTTGGCCCATTGATTAAAAGCAATCACATCTCAAGGAGTTAAAAAAGCTTCCTTGGCTATGTAGTCACTTGCAGTTTCACTTAAAAACTGTTTTGCTGGCACTAAAACCTCCTTGCTGAGATAGTGAACAGTATTTATTATGTCATGGTTCCCATTCCAGGTTTTCTGATGATTCTCTTGATGCTTTCCCAACGGGAATGGAAGGTGTACTGAATGGACTCTTTAGAACCTGTAGTTCTAGGTGTCAGAATAAGTCATGTTGTAGAACTGACACAAGATTGAGCATTTCCAGTTCCATAGTAGTTCTCAGTACGTGTTTCAGCTCTGAGTAGCAGAAGCATCCATTTGAGTATAAACAGACTCTTATCTTTACAGTAGCATTAAATGTGTTATCTTCACTGTCAGTACAGGTTCAGTAAAGTCCCAGCTGAAAAAAACACTGCAGTAAGGCTGCAGCATTATGAGTAACAACTGCTTATACTCTTAAATGTTTAGGAATATTTGGCTAGACTCTCATAGGTAGTCAGTAGTGGCTGAAGGAACTGTATTAATGGTTGACAGGCAGAGCTGGGCTTGCTCTGCAAGACATTTGTGATACTGAAGAAATCCCTGAAGAAAGTGAAGAATTTTTACATTGTGCCTCAGTTCTGGCAACTGGGGAAGGATGGAGCAGGGGAGCTATGCAACCGGAAGAGGAAAACAAGAATTTCCAAGTCATACTCCTGGTTTCATCAGAGAATTGTTTGCTACCATTGGACAACTGCCACTCCCTTGATTTAAATCGGTGTAAAGTAGAAGTGATGAACTGTCTGCTCCCTGAGGAGTTCAAGTAGAAATCTTTAAAAATTGTCGTGTAACTTACAGAAAATAACATGAACTTTTTATCCTTGCAGTTTGTGTTACAGCATCTGGACGTGCACAACAAAGCAAGACTGTATTGTGCTGTAGATACTCTGAATATGACTGAAGGAAAAGTCTCTGTCTTGTAATCTGAGGTTATTTAGAAGCAATGAAAGACCATTCTATAATATGTAGAACTGTCAATAAGAATATCAGTATGATGAAGATAGTGTTAGTATACTGGCAACATTGTGACATTTCCAAAGTAGTTTATCAGAGCTTATGTGGAATATACCCAGAGAGTGAAGCGACATTCTGCATATTTCCAAGTGTTTCATGATTAAGGTATGTTTTTGAAATCTCCGATGTGGCTTTGTTCAGTTTTATGAAGACTTCGCATTTCATAGAATGACAGAATGGTTTGGGTTGGAAAGGATCATCCAGTTCCAACCTCCCTGCCGTGGGCAGGAACACCTCATACTAGCCCATGTTGCCCAAGGCTCTGTCCAACCTGGCCTTGAACACTGCCAGGGATGAAGCATTTACCATTTCTTTGGGCAGCCTGTGCCAGTGCCTCACCACCCTCACAGTAAAGAACTTCTTTCTTATACCTAACCTGAACTTCCCCTAAGTTTGAACCTGTTACCTCTTACCCTGTCACTACAGGCCTGATGAAGAGTCCGTCCCCAGCATCCCTATAAGCCCCCTTCAGACACTGGAAGGCTGCTATGAGGTCTCTACTCAGCCTTCTCCAGGCTGAACAGCCCCAACTTTCTCAGCTTGTCTTCATATGGGAGGTGCTCCAGCCCCCTTAGCATCCTTGTGGCCCTCCGCTGGACAAGAATATTCCTCTAGGTTTGATTATACGTTCCTGTAAGTGTAGTGTCCTCTGGTCTGGTTTTTTGTTTTGTCAAATTGCAGATTATGTGCAGCTCTTCAAACACAGTGTTGTGGGTGGGGAAAAACGGAGGGAACCAGATTGTGTTTATTTACATTTCATTGCTTTGTAATGTGTATAAAAATAAATTAAGCCCACATTGTTTTGGTATCTAGAGGTCACAGAAAGTAAGTACATCTAAGTGTATAAAAATAATTTAGACAATTTGAGTCTGGTCTTGTTATGGTTTTTAATATTCATGTAATATTTAATTCCAGTGTTTATTGCAGAATAGGAACTGGAACTTTGTTAAAGTTTCAGCTGTTCTAATTCTTGAAAGAAAACGTTCAAGACAGACATTTGGGAGAATAAAAATCCCCAAGAGATCAGCCCATCAGCAGACTCAGGTTTAATTGGATGTGAGGTAGCTGCTTTAAAAGTAAAGGTTGAAGGGAAACCGAAGCTGTATGGATCCTAAGGCTGCTTTAGGCACCGAAGACTAGCAGATAGAAAAACCAAACCAACAAACAAATCTATGCAGGTGTCTTTGTTATTGTAATGGCTAAGCCAGAGATCAAAAGCCTTGAGGTGGCTTCCTGAAGACTGAAATTAAGGAAACACTAAAGACAGATGGAGAGAAAGGAACAATAAGTGATCACATTATGTTTGTGTTGTGCTTGATTTCAAAACTGTCATTCCTGTTGGAGCCCTGCCATGTTTGGAGGGCTTGACCCGCATCATGCCTTTTTGGTTTGTTGCCTGTAGCTCTAGACAGTTCAAAGACCTTATTATGTCTTTGCAAGTTGTTTTCCACTCTGCCTTTCTCCTCTCCTTTTTTCCTAGTTTTCTGAATAGGCTACAATAGTATTTAAAAATCCAGTCCCTTATATTTCCAGATGCATAGAGGGGAAAATTTTTTAGAAATACATTCATTTTTTGTGAAAGGTCCCATTTCCCATAAAATTTTACTCCTTGCAATGGGAACAATGCAAACATAATAATTATTTTGGCAGAGATATAATTATGGTTTTTATTGAGATGCACAGCTTTGCATATTTATGATACATACTACATTAGTCATTAGTATGTAATACAGTTTATGTTTTGTGGGTTTTAAAAGAAATTTTAATATATTCTTTCAAAGACTGGGGCTACAGGAACATTTTCTGATGTTAAATATGTGTAGTATTTACTATAGTGATATTTTCTTTGTACAGTCATAGTGCTCCAGTAGTTCAGAACTTGCAGCCTGGGACTAAGCAGACTTTCTGATGCATCTCCAAGATCTTGCTAGAAGTGGAACCCATTGAACTGTGTGAGTTATTGAAATGTTTTTTGGTTTTGCTTATGTTTTTTACTCTTGTTTTTTAAGCCCTCAGGACACCTTGTTCACCTTGTCTTATTGCCCAGACTGCTGCTGTGCTATCTCTGTAGCCTGGGGTCACATGTAAATTTTCCAAAATGATAAATTTGCCTGTTTTGATACTGTGGACCAAGCACTGGGAAAAAGGTAAATTGCATTTCCCATCCTCCTCACTGCCTATGGAATGGGTGACTGTGATGCCTGACTCGGAGCGATCAGACCAAAGCCAGGCTCTCTGTAATGATTACTCCAGGCTGGCAGAAGCAGTGAAACAGTATTTCCTTGCTTTCCTTCATGTTCCTTCTGAAGTTTGTGCTGTGCAAAGGATGAGATCTGGAGGATGATCAATATGCAGAGGGAATAACAGGGACATGCCAAGGTCAGGCAATAGAATTGGGGCAGTGAGCTTGGTAGGGTCTTAAGTTGGCCCCATTATGCAAGCACCTTACCTTATGGCCTTTAATCATGTGATTGCCTTACCCCCCTTCCTCACCCCACCCTGCTTCATTCTGGCACAGAATCTAAGAATGAACCGAGGCTCTTGTCCTTGGGATCCTATTAATGAGATTTAGTTTGGTGAATTTGCAAGTTGTGCAGGTATGCATAAAATGTGCAGAAAGACAGAAGAGGATCTCTGAATTAAGGCAGCTGAATGCTGTTCTGGAAAACTGGATTTTATCCTTACAGCTGTCACAAAGACTCAGCATGAGGTTTAATCACTTTAAAACAATGCCTGTAGATGTTTACTAATCGTATGCTCACGCCTGCTGCATATCCTGGGGTTAGAGTACCAACCTACTGCAACATTCAGTGAGAGCCAGAGGCTTTGAGGAGTTAAGTTCTACATTAATTGTAAGTAGTTGTAGGTAAAATCGGGTTCAAACATGTCGCCATGGGAACTTAAAATTAGTGGATGCTTTTTTGTGTCAGCCCACCTACTTATGTGAAAAAGAGGGATGATAACATAGTTTCACAGAAGTGTGAAAGAATTAAATACATTCAGATACACTGATGAATACCTCAGAAAACCTATGAGGAAATGAACTGTAAATTATTACAACTGGCCTTTAATACTGCTTAATACATAGGACATAAAAGACCAAAAAATTAATTAAATAGTTGCAAAGTGAGTAGTTGCTGTGCTCAGGTCTGAGGCAGGGGTCCTTTAATTACATCCTCATGTCATAAGTTATTAATGAAGACTGACTCGCTCTGTCAGAATAACCCAGTTACGGTTCTGCCGGCGATCACAGTTTGAGCAGTTCTTGGCTTTTGAACTGCTTTGTAACTGAAGTGCTTGGAGGTAGCTATCTAATTCCACAAGAAGAGTGTGGGTAGATGTATTTGCTTTGTAGAAAGATGATTATTACACGTGCAACCTGCACTATGGTTCCAAATACCGTACTTTTTAACACCATTGCACATTACTGATGAACTTTACAAAAGTAATGTGAGACCCTCCAGCAAAGCTCCTGCCTTGCACATGCAGGTTGGGACAGGAGGGGCTGTCAGCACTGCTCCAGCCTGCAGCTCTCTGCCAGCACCTCGTTTCCCTTTCGGGTGAGTTGCACCCAGGCTGTGCCCAAGCGACAGGCTGAATCAGACAACTGCTTTCCAACTCGTGCAGGTGTTCATCTGCCACGGTCATGTCTCCTAACGCTCTTTCCTCTCCTTCTTCCCCCCCCGACGCAGCCAAGCCCCATCCCTCCGGGTACGGAGCGCCGGGAGGAGGGCGAACGCATCCCGCAGCAGCCGCCCGGGAGGCGCTGCTGACGGGGCACGGAGCGGAGGGGCCGGTGCCCTAGGCTGAGCCCCGCACAGGCCCGCAGCGGCTGTACTCACCGGCTGCCGGCAGCAGCAGCAGCAGCAGGAGGTGCAGGGGCATTGCGGGGCGGCGGGGTCCCACGGCTGGCGCGGCGGGTGCGGCTCCGGCGGCGGGGTGAGGAGGTGTGAGCCTGACTGCTCCGTGTCGGCTATAAGAGGCTGCTTTCTGCCCCGAGCCAGGTCCCCCGAGCCCCGCTGTCCATCTAGGCAGAAGGGAGGAGCTGCCGCTGCAAGAGCGGGAGCCCTGGATCCGCACACTTGGCTACGGAGCGGGGGAAGGTGCCCCTAAGGGGGTGGCGGGGGGAAGGCTCACCTCCGTACCCCAGGCTCACCTGCTCCCATAGCCGTTATTTCTCTTTGAGTACAGCACTACCTAAGTCATTTAATCTCGACCCGAAGAGTAAAGACGGCAGTGAGCCGTGTTGTAAATTCTTCTGGTGGTTAATTATAACCGGTGCAGAATACAAGCGCTGTGCCTGTACTCTCAGTCTGCCAAACTTCACCTCCCGATTGCTACTTCTGTTGGAGAACTAAAGAACGATCAACTCCTGAACTGGTTATGGATATGTGTAGCTGGATCAAAACAACTTTTTAACTTTCTCTCAACCAAAACAGACACCTACAGAATATTTTTTGGTACGTTGTATAATCTTTGGATATTTTTTCCCCATTACCTTTCCAGCTCCTATAATATTTCGTAAAGCCTACAACTAGATGCCAGATTGCAACCACACTTTCATTGCCTCTCAACCCACAGAAAATACTGCTTGCTTTTGTGTGATTTTTCCTTGCTCATAAGTTCCAAATATTTAATCAGACAGTGCATTTTCTGACAGTTGTTCAAGCAATCGGGACCCCTGAAATTCTGGGTATTGATTTTGTGTGTGTGTATGTTTAAGGTTTTGGTTTGGGTTTTGTTTGGTTTGGGGTGGTTTTTGGATTTTTTTTGTTTGTTTGTTTGTTTGTTTTGGGCTGGGTTGGGTTTTTTTCTGTTTTGGGGTTTTTGTGGCATCATTATATTCCAGGATATGACCCCCATAGATCCCACTGAGGCCTAGACTGGTAGGATAAAGAAGGAGGAAAACAAAGGAGATTTTACAGAACTTACCAAGAACTTGTTCTTCATCATGTCATCTTACTGTTGGAGAGCAGCTGGTAGGCTTTTTGGTACTGAATGATATTTTCATCAAAGAAATAAAATGATTTTTCATGTGCATACTGAAGGATAATTTTACTTTTGCATTGAAGTGCTCCGATTTCTGCCTTACATCACTCCTCTTTAATCAGAAGTAGAAAATCTTATGTGGTCTGATTCCAAAAGGCTAAAAGCATGCACAGACAGATGAGGTTTGTTTTTGTTATGCTCTTATTAATCCACACTCTATGAAATGTTTGTGTTGGCACTAAGTTATGGTAGCATGGGATAAATACGGAAGCACATCAGTTTAAGGTAGGATATTGTTATGCCTGTGTACACCTGATACACCTTTGTGTAACTACATGATGAATACCAGAGATGATGCATTAGCCCACTGAATACTGTTCGCACTCTGCTGGGTCTGTGAACATAGCTGACCATTTCCCAGTGAGGGTGGAGTAGAATACCAACGAAATGGAATCTGTGGCAACCATAACCATTGTCAGTGACCCTGAGAAGTCTTGGTAATGTACAAGTCATAAGAGAAAACAAGTCAAAAGAGAAAAAAAAAAAAAAAAAGGATAGTTTTGGGGTTTTTTTTAAATACTTTTTTTTTTTTTTCACAAGATCATGCTGCTCCTGCCATCAACTGGGTCAAGGCAATTTCCCTGTTACTCATGGAGTCACATCCCTAATTGCTATTAGTCCATTTCATACTGTCACTTATACTGCATTTGTTTACTGACTCTTCCGGTCCATAAGTCACACCTATTAGAATGTTTTAATAGTGTCCAACAACTGTTTAGTGCAACTTCCAGTTGAACAGTATCCCATCCAGCATACCATTGGATATGACAATGAAAACAGTATCCAGAGGAGAAACATTAATGTTCTTCAGGAGACCAACTGATGCAATGTCTTAGTGTACTTGGTGTTGGATTAGTGCAGTTGATACGTTTTTCACTGAAGGAAAGAAAGTAATCTTAAAACCAATAAAGAATCAAGTGAGACTGATGTGTTCAGACTACAGCTGCTTCTACCAGAAAGGAGCCAAAGATGTGAAAGTGACAAAATCTACATGAAGTAAGAAATGCAAGTCAGAGGAGTTCTGCTTCCTACAAGTTGTAGGAAGAGTTCAAAGGAGAACATCTACTAAAACTGGGATGGGAGGCGGAGAAATCTGATGTAGAAGGAAATACTTATATTGAGGTGGATTTAGGTTGTCCAGTTAAGTGCCATGGCATATGGCTAAGAAAATATACTAATTGCAGACTGGAAGTTGATATGGATTACAATGATAATGATTTATTTTTTAAATGAGATTTTCAATGCCCATAAAATTTTCAAATAAATCTTATGTGGCAGTGCAGACCTGTTGTATTTGCTTCTTGTAGTGTTCCTTTTCATTTACCTGAAGCATTTGGTGACTGGTGTAAGTCATTTATGACAAATTGCATTTTCCTTCTCACTGACGAATTCTTTTTGGCAACTGGAGCTGTGCATAGGTGAGGAGAAGCATTTGCTTTTCAAATATACTTTATCAAACAAGGTTGCATGTGCTCAATGGTTGCTTTAATTCAGTTGGTTTTAAATCTGAAGAATAGATTCATATAATTGAGACACACAGTTGTACTGAGGAACATTTCTCACAGCATAACAATATGGGTGAAATTGTTAAGTCAATTGTAAAAGCCTCATTTCTCAGTGTCCATGATCCTGTATATGCAGGAAGATGACAGAGTACATTAATGCAAAATGTTAAAATGTTGATGGAAAGTGCTAGAATGGTCTAAAGTATGGTTAATGTAAATCGAGTTACCACTTTCCTGTTAGCAGGTGAAAGTAGTGATTTTGTGAACAATGTAACAGTATATTTAATACTGACTAAACAGTTGCAAAGCTGTATTTTTGTAGTAACAGAAGAAGTCAGTTCAATTAACACTTTCTGTTTAGTAAGAGCAGTTATTTTTACAGAGAAATGAGAAAGCATTTACCACCTACCTGGTGAAATTTATACATATTCTGCATTTAGCTGTTAGGAAAATCAGTAGTAATGATGATGAATATAGAAGTAAAAGGGTCTCTTGGTATCTAAGCAAAGTCCTACAAAATTAGGATCCTGCTGCATTAAGCTTGTGACAATTAAGCTATACGATATATTTACTGCCCCACTGAATGAATGAACTAATAAAGAATGGTGAAAATTATTTTCCCATTGTTAGAGATGACAGGGTGATCTGTTCAGGGTGTTATAGGATGGCTACAGCAGAGCTGAGGAGCTGCACCTTGGTGTTCTGCAACCCAGCACAAGTCCCAGACTGGGTTCTTCTGTGGCACTGACTCCTGGAGAAAAATAAGGAAAGAAAACACATACCTGATACACTGTGAAGGTATCAGAATAACCAGAACTGAAGAGCTGCTTTCCAGCAGTAAGTCAACTGCCTGAATTTACCTGATTGCTGTACTTGGCAAATGTTGGCCAGAGCCTTGGGCGACACGGTCTAGGTTGAAGTGCCCCTGCCCATGGCAGGGGGCTTGGAACTATATGATCTTAAGGTCCTTTCCAACCCAAACCACTCTGATTCTATGTCCTGAAGTTATACCACATTTTCTTAAATGTTGGACTGGGACACAGGGTCGGCCTGGAATACATCCCTTACAAGTTCCTTCAGGTACTGGATGTCCAAGTAGTACACAATCAACTTCTTTTATCATCATTGTCTTCGTAGAAGAAACAAAATAGCCTTATTACTGAAGTATTTGTTTAGAAACATGCAGTGCCTTTGTTCCCATTTTTAGAGGCTTGGCTGACTTTCTTCTCTTTCATGTCCTTCCATCTGCTCTTAGTTCCTTTTCACAACCAATGCTTCCTGTTTACCAATGTTTTCTTCAGCTTGTGTTGTTGTGAATGTTGTTCCAAAAACTATGACAGTTAAAAAACATAGTCTGGAGAGACAAGCTCCACTGGAAGATCAGAAAACATTCTAATGAGCTGTTTTACAGTATTTCCAATGTACTTGGTATTATCTCAAATCTATTTCTAGCATACAGAACAAAATCCAACTTCGATTTAGGACCATACCAGCCTATAGTATAACTTGTCATGTCTTTGGTAATAATAAGCCTATGAGTGGCATAATACTGAGAGAATTTTGGGGAGCATGTTTGTAGCATTGTCCTTTATATGCCCTTTGGCAGTGATGTTATTCAGTCCATTCTGCAGAAATGCTAGTGTGTAGCTGCCCATAACAGACAGTTGTGTGCTGGAAAAGCTGTCATTACATAAATGTTCTTGAAACTGGTTTATAGTTATAATGTATGCAGAGGAGCTAAATTACTCCTACAGGTTTCTTCTTTCATCTCTCTTTTTCTGGTTTTGTTCTCTTGCAGATTCTACCCTCTGCTCCTTAAGTATAACAGCTACAAGCACAAAGTCCATCCTGTGCATACAACCACCCAGGCAAATAACAAGATTGCAAGTACGTTCCCAGAGCACCACGTAGACTGATGCAACTCTGGTCATTTTATGATACAGAAATATACCATCTGTCTTTGAGCAAAGCCACAGACAGGAAGATTCTGGGGAAGGACCCTATAAATAATTTCTGGCTTGCTTGGTTCTTCAGTCTCAACAAGCATCTCTGCCTTCCAGAAGATTTCTTACACACAGTAAATCAAGTTCTACTTTTCAGTATCTGCATCCAAAAAAAGACCAGGGCCTGCTTCTTCTGGAACCTAGGACTCCTTTTTGTATCTAAAGGAAAAGATACTCAGAAATGCAACTCCTGCATTTCTGTAAAACAAAATTTGAAATCTCTAGCGTATCTCTGGAAGGATGTTTGACTTGCTTGTTTTTACATAGGTTACACCAACTTGTATTCTTGAAACGGTTGATGTAATGACCAGCATGATGAGATAGAGTGACCTCTCAGCAAATTTGTGGGTGATACCAAATTGGGGGGAGTGGTTGATACACTGGAGGGCAGGGCTGCTACTCTTATAGACCCAGTCAGACTGGAAAAAGGAGCTGCTGGGGAACCTCATGAAGTTCAGCAAAGGCAAATGAGAAGCCCTGCATCTGGGTTGGCATAACCCCATGTGTTGGGACAGGTTGGGAACTCACTGCATAGAGCGCAGCTTTATAAAAAAAGAAGCAGGGGGTCACGGTGCACAAGCTGAATGTGAGTCAACGGTGTGCTCTTGCAGCAAACATGTCCAGCTGCATATTGGGCTGAGCACAGCTGATGGGTTTGGAGGGAGGAGATTCTTCCCTTCCACTTGAGACTTGTGAGACAACATTTGGAGTTCTGAGTCTCATATTAAGAAAGGCATTCACATGCTAAGCAAGACTTGTAAAGGCCACCAAACTGTTCAGGGGGCTGCAGCTGATGACATGCAAAAAGCTGAGAGCACTGGATTTGTTCAGGTTTAAAGATGGTGAGGTGAGGTGATACTGCTGACTACCACTTCCTCATGGAACAGTGTAGAAAATATGGAGTCAGATTCCTTCCAGAGGTGCACAAGAGGCGTTTGCTTTAATGGAACCTGCCTTGAGCACAAAGTTGGACTGCAGACTTGGAGGGAAAGAGACTCCTTGTTTTGCCTACAGGTGTTCATGAAAGTATGCCCTGCAGGCAGGGAAGGCAGTAGCCTGTTCTACTGCAATAACAAATTAATTGATTAATTATTTTTCTCATGTATCACCAACTAAGCTATGTAAATGCATTGGGGAAATCATCCATACTGAATTCAAAGACAGCTGAAACTTTGCCTACTTTATTAAATAGACAGCTTTGGCATAAACAGCACCAGTGCCCTTTTCATAAAGAAATACTTTACTGCCAATCTGACTCACTGTTCTGAAACCCATTTCTGTGCCTTTGTCCATGTTGACCATTTCTGAATCTTCTTCCACTTCTATTTTTACTGAGATGGGGGGAAACTGCAGAATTGTACACAGTACAAGTGAAGATAGACAATGGATTTATAGACTGTGCAGACCACATTCTGCTAAGAGGGAAGGGACAGAAATGCATGTTATGATTTTGTGTAACTTTTCCTTTTAGTATGTTTACTGGCTTTTTGTTGTCTCTAAATGTTTTAAATTGCTTAAAAACAGAATGCAGATTTTTCTTACCTGTTTATTTGTTCACCTCTTATTGTCTTGTTCTATAACACCCCATTTGTCTGGTCTACTTTTCACAGCCTTTCTGTTCATGTCTGCTTCCTCAGCTGTGAAGAGTTTAATGGCAACTGGACACTTGCCAGAAGATAAAACCCCTAAGTTATGTGTCCATCAAAGGAAAAGTGAGTAGAATGTAGCCCTTGCCTGTTCTGGGGTCATCAGCCCAAGAGCTACGTATCTTTAAACAACTTAAATGTCATCAAGACTGCTTTGGAACTAGGAAGTTCAATGTATTCTTGAGAGACAAAAGAATCCTGTAAATACTGAGGGATGGGGAACATCTGGATTAGCTAGATAATTTATCAGTAGCAAACAAGTGAATACCAGAAATCTGGTGGTAGTTTAAAACATGTCAGATCAAAAAGTATCAACAGTATCTTTCTGTTCCTCTTGGACTGTCTCCCATCTTTACTTTTGCTTTGCAGTGTGATTGGGATGAGGAGTAATTGAACCAGACACCTGTCAGCACTAGCATCATGATTTGACACACCTGAAATAAACAAGGTACTTCCAAATCAGTCAAAAAACGTAAGAGTCATTTGCCAAGGAGTATGCATGGAGTGTAAGTGCACAACATGCAGGGCAATGTTCAGTAAAATGTTTGCTTAGCTGCTCTTGTTTAGCCACTAGCTGCTATTTGATTTCCAGTGAGAAGCAAGGACTCTCATCTCAATACAAGGCAAGAGTTTAAATGCATTCTCTAATCTGGGCCGTCATGACAAGCATGTTATTAAGTTTTCTATGTAGGCCTATTTTCCACCACATTTAGAAAACACAAATGCCATGGTTATTATGTTATATAAACAATTTAGAACAATTTATATATCCTGTAATTTTAAAGACTTAAGCTTACTCCTCTTTGCAGTATCAATTACTGGTTTAAGAATACTTTTTCCTAAAACTAAGAAGGAGTTTATGATTCTACAGGTTTTATATTTCCTTAAAAGTGATCAGTTACAGACAAAACAAGACATGGTCAGGACATCTGCAACAGAAGACCTGCAGACTCATTATCAGAAAAAGCTAAGAAAACAATTGAGCCTGAAGCTGAAGGTAGCTGCTGTAATGAAGTCCCAGTACCTTGTAAACATGCAGTGCTCAGGCAAAATATTGATGCTTAACTTGCAGAGTTCACTGAATCTTCAAACACATATAGAAATGTCACAAAATTTCCATTGTACATATTGAAAATTAGGACACCAGTCAGTTTGGCAGTTTTAAGCCTTGATTGTTCTTTTTTGTTTCATTTTAAACCAAGGAAGATGTCCTGATCCAAATACATAAATTGCTTCCTTGGTTTAAAATAAAACAAATTCCCAGTGATGATGCTTTATTTACCGAATTGCACAGAGTAAAAAAATTCTTGTCTACAGCTCCTGTAACTAATAAAGTTCATATCATCCTTAACACATAGAGGGGCTCCATGCTTTAAAATAACACATATAAAGAAAATTGTTCCTACATATAAAGGAGAGAAAGCTCTAACTGGATATGAGATGCCACCACAAAATTAATACACCATATACCACGAACTGCCCCATTTGTACAACAGTGATGGAACTGTCATTCTCTTTGCATTTACAGAATCAGGAAGTTTACTATGCTGCGTGGAACAGGCCTTGCTAACTGGCATCAGGATGTGCAAGATAGCAAGAAAAAGCAGGAGCAAGGGATCAGTCATAGTGAAGTTTTAAAAATAATAGTTTTCTCTTCAACTGTTAGGATTGTGAATCTTGCTAAATGGATTTAAATTCTTTAAAGCACTAAAGCTTACCTAAAATACATGTAGCATCAAATCACAGGTGAGCCCAAGAACCAGCAGCTGAAAGGTGACTAGGAACAAAGCAGTCAATTCCTTCGAGGCCTTCTTTGGCAAGTTCCTAGTTTCAAATTTACATTATAGCTCTCACTGACTTGCTTTTCACATTTTGCAGAAATCAACAGTCATGTCCCCAAACAGCCATTTTTCTGTGCTCATGAAACTCTTTCAGACGGCAAGTACTAAATATATTTTCCCTTTTTATAGTGTAAAGCTTAGCACATTTTAATTGTGTCTCAGTTACTTCACCACAGGCATTTTCTTTTAAATGACGTAGAATGGTACAAATTTTGTCTAGCTTTGTTTTGTGACAATGGCACCTCAAAAACCAGGAATAAGATGGGACTACATATAAAATTTGACGCTGATAATATTAGATGATCTTTTAAAATAAACAGCTTGTGCATACTTGACATTTTTGCTTCACAGAGCAAAACAGTACTGCATACACAGAGTATTGTGAATTTTACATGTGGTCTGCAAGTAAGATCTGCATACTTAATGGTAACTTGATATTGCTCTGAGAATCCCAACCTTTTCATTTCCTAATTCTGTTTGGAGTTCTTCAATACCATGTTAACGTTTAAATGTTGCTCTAGTTATTTCCTCTGCCAGAAAGAAGAAAAGATAAACCCTTATTAGTTTACACACAATGTAATCCCAGGAAGGATTTGCCAGGAACAGATAATCTTCACTTGTGCACAGGTCTTATTTAGAATGGAGCGTCAGGAGGAGGCATACCCAAACTTAATTACATAAGCAATTCTAATTAATTCTGTAAAATACTATACAGAATTTTACTTTAGATTGTTTTGTTCTGAGAGCCACCAAATAAAATACCTGTATAATATTTATTTTAAAAACCAAAAGTCACAACTGTATGTCACTGTCAAATCCATGGATGTTCAAGGATAACTGTGTTGAGATGCTGCTGGAGGTTCATTTTTTTCACCTCCAGCCAACTGGTATTTTTCACTTGATACTTTCTGTTTAAGCAACAGTTTGCCTACGGATGTGTGCAAATGTGTTTTGCATATGCATATAATGAAGTAGAATTAAAATGTAAAGCAAAGCAGTTAATTCTCTGAAACAATTTCATCCTGATCCTAGTGAAGTGCATGCATCTTCCTCCGGACAGAAAGCAAGCACTAAATAATATAAGCACTAAACAAACACTTTTTTTTTCATATAAAATAAGCAGCATTTTGTGCTATTTCATATATATTGCATCCCACTTCAGTTTTCTGTAATCTTCATATTGAGGTGATTACCCCACAACTGGAAGGACTGGAATTAGGTGGGTCCTTTTATTATCATTATGACTGTAAGTTGAAGGAAGAGGAGGAGCTGCAGCAGTTCTCATTTTACTTGAAATACTGGACTCAGGAACCTGTGTGAGAACCTTGAGCAGCACAATCCCTTACAGGAGGGTCACCATCGAAACAAGTGTAATTGCTTACAGTAGGCTGGTTCTTTCCAAGGTTTTTGGTCTTTGAATTTTGCTTTTTATCACTTTGGCTTGGCCCCTGTCCATCATCTTTTCTTCTTCAGCTCCTTAAGTCACTTGTCATTTTTTCAGAGTTGAAGGTCAGATCATTCCTCCTGACTTATAAGCCACAGGCCCTGAAATTTCTTGTACCAGCCCAAGTAATTTCTCTTTGAGCAAGGCATATTTTCTATCTACTTGCAGCATGTAATTAAACTTGGAGTCACACAATTTTAGAAGATAAGGAACTTCCTGTTCTGTTAACAGAAGAACGTCTTGTAAGAAGCTGTGACTGGAAAAGGGTTGAATCAAGAGTAGGCACCAGCAGTAGAGATGGGACAGCCTTGTAAGGGGAGAGTTTATTTAAAACCAGTTGACTTACAGTAAGATGGGACTATGCACATTTGGAGTGGGTCATTTTTATAGTAAAAATGAAATTTAATAAAGACAGACTTTCTTTTCTGAGCAAGAAAAAGGTGGTTTAGTCATTCAAATATTTGTAGAGGTAATCATTTGGGAGAACTTTCAGTAAAGGGAAGAATAGCAATAGCTCAATTCTAAAATGTTTCAACTGACAGCTAAAGAAACTCTAGCCTTGATAAAATATAAACTGTAAACAATATTTAGTATAGGTTAGGTTCAGCTAAACCAGTACGTTCCTACTATCTCTAAAAGGTAACAAAGAAAAAGGTATAAAACTATTTAACACCTGAGATTCAGCAGTTTGCAGAAGAAAGGCCATTTCTACGTAAACAAATAAACCCTGTGACAGCTGCTTAAGTTTAAAACCTGAAAGCTGCATTTCACAAATATAAATAATGAGACCCACGATCACCGAAGCTCTATACAAAGTCAGTGGCAAGGTGGACATACAGGCTTGGAAAAGCCCAGCTGCTTGTCTTGTTTTCTGTGCTTTTAAGTGTGCTAGTTGCTGCTTCTTCTATCAAGAACAATGCTGCTGTAGTTTTAAAGAAAGGCTGACATGCCCAAACTACACAGATACAGAAAAACCTCAGAAGGCAGGCAACATTTCCTTTTAAAATAGCTTCTGACAATGACTTAGTATAATTATACATTCTCCAGACTGAGGTTTGGAAGACTGTTAACTTCCCTGTCAATTTAAAACCTCCTTTTGTATACAGCCAGTGGGTGGGGTGCCACATTTGAGTACAGCATCCAATTTAAAAACTCAACCATCTAAGGTTGCTTTTGAGTCTGACAGCATACCAACTCAAAACTCAGATTTTGTGGAAGCACAAGTGATTAGAAACACAAAAACTGAATTATAAAACATATTAAAAGAGCATGAAATTAATGAAAAGTTGATTAGTGCACAGTTATGAGAAACAGCAGAACTCTGCCTGTTGCAGCAACTTCTATGTTAATGGTAGTGTAATCCTGCTGCAATTGCTGTTGTTTCCTAAAAACATTTCTCCATTACTTCCTGTATCCTATATCCTGCCTTGTAATACCCATGTGGACAAAAATTGTGAAAGGTCTTACTGCTCTATCATTGCCTTTATTTGTAATGGACACTGTAAACTGGATTCATCTGGATTCTCTTTCATACTTCAGAACCAGAACTTTGTGAAACTAAGTGTGTTAGTCCACTGTCATGGAACTCTGAAAATCACTTCTGAAATTGTGTGTATTTCAGGAAATAATTTGTACATACCTAGATGCTGACAATATAGCTCACGCTGCAGTTATGTCAGTGCCACTACATTATGCAGTGGTAGCACAGTAGCTCACGCTTGTTTCCCACAGTTCTTGAGCAGTGTGTATACTAGCTCTTTCAGGTAAGATGTGCTAACCTTATTTTTCCAGATATTAATTCCTTCAGAATAATTCCCTGTGGAATCACTGATTTCTGCTTGTGCTGTTTATATATCAACTTCAGTGGTAAATCAATTAAATCCCTGAGATTTTATTGTTTTAGAGTCATACCAGCTTGAATACCAAGATGCTGAACAGAGGGATGCAATGTATGATCCCCAAGGAAGAAAATGCTTTCTTAGGGTGTCTACAGCAGCATTCACAGAATAGTTTGGGTTGGAAGAGACCTTAAAGCTCATCTAGTTCCAAACCCCTGCCACAGACAGGGACATGTTCCACTAGACCAAGTTGCTCCAATCCCCATGCAAAGCATTCTCATGCTTTTCTTTTGAGGTCCCTTCCAACCCTTGGGATTCTGCTCTACTTCAATGATTTCCAGAAAACGTGCTGGTTTAAAATATTTCTCTTTTGACAGAATCTCAGTTATGAAGCATTCTGTTTGGTTTTTTTTTCTTTCTATTTTGAAACAAAGACTCTGCTTCTCCATAAAAGAGAGGAGTGAAAGGACAACATACAATTTTCTAGTATCTGACACATTTTTAAAGTTTCAGTTGCTGGCTAGATAGATCACTTGGTGACATGATCGTTGACAACAACTGATGTACACATTGCCAAAACTCTCCTGTACCTATTTATAATTCTTAATACACAGTAGCATTACTGATCAGTAATTTCTGCAGTTCAGAAAAAATGCTGTCTTTCTTTAACCTTTTTCTATTTTAAACCAGTTTGTTGCTCAAGGAAAGTCAAGAATTGAAGATTGCCAGGAAGGAATAAAAGGTGAATTCTACAAGAAATTTAGTGGAAAAGCATGTGTGTGTTGAGAGGGTGGGAAGACTCTTGTCTCTCCTGCCTTCTGAAAAAGTTGTATTTTAAATCCTGTATTTCAGTAACGATTGTAAAGAAAACAGAAAAACCTGTCATCAGCTTGATACTCAGCAGTATAAAATCAGAAATAAGCTAGGTTGAGCACACCAGCTAGCTTCGGCCTCCTTTGGTTTTCTGTCAAAAGCACCTAAACAAGTCTGCACACCCTTATTTAAGGTTTTACTTAAATTCAGTCAGAGTTTTTCAGTGTATACATAAAATTGTTAGTTTTGTAATGTGGCTTTCGTTCCACTACATTTTAGGAGACAGATTATTAAAATGGTTTTGGTATTCATGTTCTCTAATATGAAGTAGAATGATATAAAACAAAAAGTAAACAGTACTGTTAAAGCTTGAAACTCCAGTTCCTTGAAATGTGTCAGAGGTAAGCCTGAAGAACTCCTTAATTGTGCTTTTATACTCAGTCAGCTTGAAAATGCTTTGCTATTTTTACTAGTGCTTATAAACCTGAGCTTTGGATGACTGCTTGACCGTTTGGAATAAGGATGACAGTTAAGATCAGCTGATGAATAACTTCTTATACTGTTTGCAGGAATTAAGGCATTGGTCTATAACTGAGCATTGTGGTGGCTCATTCTCTATGGGAAGGGCCTGAACTTTCTCCATAGTATATGGAGTTAAGAATTCTTAAGAGCCAACATGATGGTTGGGGACTTTCTATTTTAGCCACATGGGTATGATTAAACACAGCAGAGAGGTGTAACATTTAGCCATTTTGACCTAAGACTGCAGGGAATCAGACATAGTGCCAATGTGTTAATAGCTTTCAGGATAGAAGCGCTGCAGTTTAGAGGCCCTGAAGATATTTAGCCTACTTGGCACTCCTACTAAAAGGATAATCTAATTGTCAGCTTAAAGAGGTTTGTAAACAACAACTGCTTCTGCTCCTTTTGCTGAAATTGTGAAAAGAATTATTGTCTCTTACTCAAGTGAGAGAGAAAGAACCATGCACCAGTGACATTCTATCTTGTGATTAGGATACCTGACTGCAAAAAGAGAAATATGGCTTGATCCCTGCTTGTTTATGCAAAGCTCTCTTGCTAAACTTTCTTCAAAGAACTGAATCCTGCTATGAGCAATCTAACTGGCAAAGTGTTAGCATTTTAGTCTGGCTCAGAAGTAAGCTATGTACTGTGCTTTTTATAGAGTTGTCTCAGAGCATGTGACCTGGATTCTTTTGGGGTAAAATGAGACAGGAGAGGTATTCCTCACATCTGCCCATGTTATTTGCTAAAGCACCATTCTTTAAATGAATTGGATTATACACCACTGTTTTCCCCTCTCCATCTTCTTTATGGACAGATTTAAACCTCATATATAACCTGTGATGAAAAACAGATCAATTAACTTTACCCATATTCCATCTTTTCAGTTACACTAGAATTCTTCAGTATTAAATGTCTGTTCCAGTTAACCTCTAAACACAAAGACAAGCAAATAAAGACAGGACTACTGAGTTGAAAAATTGAGATATTGTATCTAACAAAAACGTACTGCTGTAAAGTACAGCTACAACAAACATTGTATGTCGAGTAAAACACTTCCTGAGATTCATGCTAACAGTGGATGCAGTGGCATTTTCTGTCTTCCAAGGCAGTATCAGACACACCTTATATCAGTAAATTCATCACTGCAGCCATAGTTACAGGAAAGAAAACGACAAAATTAAGACCTGATGTAAACAGCTGAAGCTTATGATAATGGGTTAGCTAGTTCCAACAGTGATGTAAAGATTATATTAGCAAATAGGTCAGGTAATAGGTGTAATTTTCTTCATCTTAATCTCCAATGTGTGTTTATAATGTACAAATAAGACAACAGATAGAGAAAATCAAATAGAATAAAATAATCCAATAAATTAAATGGGCATAGGAAAAGAGTATTTCTAAAGGGTATGAAAAAATCTGATACTCTTTTCTTTAGGGAAACTATAAAGACTAATAGTGTTAAGAATTAAAAGCTTCTCTCAAAGGAGAGAGTTGACAAATGAGTGCCTTCATGACGTGCTTTCCTTGAAGCCCTGAAGCATCTTGAGATGTATAAATCAGTATCTCATTTTCCAGAATACGTTCTGCACTCTCAGGAAGTGTCCTTGCTTAGCTTACAGGATATGAAGTGAGGTGCTGCGAGAACTGCCCACAGAACTTCTGACACTGCTCATTACCCTGGCCAAAATTACCTACCATCACCTGGAATAGATCAGATACCATTAAATTAAGAATTGAAGCAATGTATATTATGGTTCTTAATGAAATAACAGCCTTTGTGTTCAGACAGATACATTTGTCTGATTGTAAGAAATTTTGCAAATGTGACTCCCTTAAGAAAATGGTAAAACACCTTAAAAGATTAACAGATCTTAGGGGTATGCAGTGTCAAGGCTCAGTAAGCTCAAAAATGGAAGTTAAGCTTACAGAGCAGAACTTTTATTCGTATCAGTCATTCAAATTTATTTACTCTTTAGTGTTTCTCATCGGAATTAATAAAAAATGCCCTACATCCTCTATTTAATTTTTAAATCACATTTTCAAAGCTTTCTGCATGGCTGTGCAAATGAATCTTAAATTTTCTAGCCCAGCAACAAATTTTATTTGTGTATTTTTACATAATTTGGGCAGCTAACACTTCAGAAGGGCATCTTAGCTAAGTACCTTGATTGTAATGATTAAAAATTTAACTGGTGCGTTTTTGGGAGTGTGTTTGAAGAGTGGGTCTGAGTAGTCACTCTAGAGGCACTTGCAGGTATGGCTCCATGTGGTTCCAGTTTTGCCACTCCTCCTACTGAAATGTGACAATATCAGGAGACAGACTAAACCACTGACAGCCTGACAAGCACATCTTTTTTCCTTCCACTGCCAAAGCAAGGTGATGCATTTTGATTTGTTTCCAAGCGTACTGGGAGGTAACTTAGATAACTTAGGAAAAAGCTAGCTAGGAAAAAAAAGCTCAAACCCTAGATCCATCTCCCAGTTGCCCATTCTAACCCTTACTGCTCAAGAGAATGTTGAAAGCAGAGTGGCACTTTATTTTTGGCTAACAGATCTCTAACAGGTCACCCATTTTAAAAAATGGTTATCTTTTCTGTTCACATCCTTATTATACCAATCATCCATAATTTTGGCACACTGATGTATATTTTACTCATGGTTATCCTTTGAGGCTATTCAGAGGCTTGAAGCTAATGCTCATGATAGTGGCTGGCAGTAACAAATTTCAACTAGCCACACATAATCATAGAATGATAATCATAGAATCACAGACTGCTTTGGGTTGGAAGGGACCTTAAAGTTCATCCAGTTCCACCCCCTTGCCACAGGCAGGGACAACTTCCACTAGACCAGGATGCTCCAAGCCTCGTCCAACCTGGCCTTGAACACTGCCAGGGATGGGGCAGCCACAGCTTTTCTGGGCACCCTGTGCCAGCGCCTCAGCACCCTCACAGGGAAGAACTTCTGCCTAAGAGCTCATCTCAGTCTGCCCTCTGGCAGGTTAAAGCCATTACCCTCTGTGCTATCCCTGTATGCCCTTGTAAAACGTCCCTCTCCAGGCTTCTTGTAGCCCCTTTAGGCACTGGAAGCTGCTCTAAGGTCTCCCTGGAGCCTTCTCTTCTCCAGGCTGAACAAGCCCAGCTCTCTCAGTCTGTCTCCAGAGCTCTAGCCTTTGGAGCATCTTTGTGGCCTTCTCTGGACTCTCTCCAACAATAATACATTTGGTTTTTGTGTGCTAAAATATTGAAACAGCTTGACATTAAAAAAGAAAAAAAAATTCAAGAGGTCCTTTCTAATGTTGAACCTTTCAACCTAAAAGAATTAACTTCGTACTTTTTGTGGATTCGGGTCAGACATGTGTGTAGCTACCCACCAGGATTCAGCTCCGACAACCTGGCCAGTACCCCTAGGACGCACCAGAATGGGGCTTATGCCCTCTGCTGGTTTACTGGATCCTGACTCGGCTGCTGTGGAAGGCAGAATTCATCTTGGATTTAGTAAAACAATCTCCAAGTGATGTCTAGGCATCATGGAATGAATCTTTACTGACTTTTAACTTGTGCCTCAAATCAGGACTGAGACATTGAAACAAAATCAAGATATTCTCATTGTATATTCATTTTTTATGTAAAGGTTATGATTGCTGGAATTCTACGCTAACTCCTATGCAAAACCCCGCAAGTATTTCACTAGCTTAAACAATTTCCAACAATGTTTCAACAAGCAAGAAAGATGCTAAGTAGTTTCCTAATCTTTATAGCTAACCTCAGGCTCATGCCATAAAAGTTACAGTTTAATTTGCCCTGTTAGAGATCCCAATTTGCATGCAATACTCAATGTTTTATTGTGGAGATATGTAGAATCCACTACTACCAACAAAAAAGCCCTGTATTGGCAAACCAAAACCTAATATTTGCAATACCTTTGGTGGAAATCCTCGTTCATATGCAAGCTAGCTACAAAAATGTGCAATAGATCTTCTTGTTTTATTCACAGAAATGCTCATCTCTGGCTATCCTAAGCAAAAGAGGGATGTCAAGTAATGGCAGAAAATACAGTAATAGTGTGAAACCCCAGAAAAACAAGCAAACCCCCCACCAACTGCATAGTAACTTTTTGAATGGATTGCATTAAACTATATTTAATCTACACATGATTATTTAAAATAGAGAGCATTATTTTGGTCATGTCACTTGTCTTCAGAAGGGAATTGTATGTAATCGTTCATAATCTAATTTAATTCAGTTTAATTCTGCAGATTTCTCTTCTTCATATTCATATAACATGGCTTAACTTAATTCAGGTCAGCACTCCTGAGCGTGCTTTCCTCAAAGGAGTTCTGTATTTCATACCTTAGTTTTGTATAAAGCTCTATCTTGGTGAAAAATACTTATATAGAACTTATCCATACACTCTTTGATGTTAACTATTTCCTTGGGTAGTAGCTAAAACATAGATTCACATCCAACTAAAACTGTTCATACAGATATTAGATATATTTTTAAAATGTTCTGCTTAATTATTCAGGAAGTTTGGTATTTTTTGCTTCCCAAAATATATGTGGAGTTGGAATAACCATATATTCCATACGTAGTTATATTCCATAACCACTGTTTTAAGGAAAGAGAGCTATGTCATCATACACACACATACACACACACATATATAAATGATAGAATTCCGAGTTTGGGAAAGAACCAGAGACTTGATCAAAATTAAAAAAAAAAAAAAAAAAAAAAAAGATAAAGCAGCAAACTCCAGTTTTGAAGGGAATACATTCCTGGAATTATTTCTAGACATAAATAATCCATTTATGTCAGGAATTCCAGTGAACTGTAATCCTAATGTTATGTTGGAAAGTGTTGCATGATAAGGACTTCAGAAGCTGCAGATAAAGGAATACACTGAAAAAAACCTGTCTTCCGCTATCATTCCCAGCTGTGCAATCTTCCTGATCCATGAGCATGTAATTAACATGGGTTCCAAAGCAATTTACTTTATAACATTTGAATTATAAAAATCAGCTGGTTGTGTTTTGTTTCCTCTGTAAATTATTTTTTTAGAGTTCAAGAGAAATCCCTCTGCTTGTCTTGTTTTACAAGCTCATTGTGGAAAAAAAGTTTCAAAAGCTGGCCATGTTTTTTAAAAAGGCACCTGCGTAAATGCTTTGATTTCCTTTTTTGTCAGTAACAACTCTTCCCCAGCTCAAAAGATCACTTTACTTAAACAAGGAAACTCACAAAAATTAACTCAAAAAATTACTCAACCATATGTTAAGGTATTATAATAATTTAATATTAACAACAATTATTGTAAAGCAGTGGAAAGGATAGAATATGTATTTTCTTCTGTCCGTAAGTACTTTAAAAAAATCTACAGTTTTATATTGTTCAGGCTGTAGCTTTGCTGAATACAAAAACACGAACAGCAAGCTTGGAAGATGCAATGAACCACGGGAGAGCAACAAGGTCAGATTGCAGTGACTGCATCTTGGAGAGCAGTTTGGGTGTTCTTGGAATGCAGGACTCAGTTCTTCACTTTAAACACTTCCTTGAATAATTAATGGGTTAAAAACTCTATTGTCTTAGGAAATTTCAGACAGGAAGAGAAAGTCATTATAAAATCACAACTATTACCATTCACCTGAAGCTAATAAATGTATAGATAGTCACAATACAATGGTAAATATCTATTACTTAGTAACAGTGACAATCTTCAGAATAATTCATGTTCAGTTTGCTTAACCGGGGGAAAAAGTTGCTCATGCCAAGCTTCCATCTTCTCCTAGGCTAGGCTATACAAACCTATAGCTCTACACAAGGTGTTGAAATAGCAGCCATCAAGCATCTCTTTAGCCTGCAGTGCTTAACAAATAGTAAGTTTTAATCCTTTGTAAGCAACTAGTTAGATAAGATGATCTTGGTTTCTGCTGTTTTCATCTGGACACTTAACACTGCAACTTCTGCCACTTAAGGTGCTGTATAACTACTTCAGTTAGGTTCTTGGTCAGTCTTATTAAAGCAACCAAAATATATGCTTCTCATTGACAATTCTACCACAGTGGCTAAAGTTTATCATAGAACACCGCTTGTTCTCCAAAGCACAGAAAAGCTCCACAACTTCTAGTTACATCTAGTACATTAAGATTTTCCATTTAGTGTCAAATAATTAACCTAGTTTGTTTGCTCAAGATCATTTGTGCAAATAGTGATGAAACATCCATCACCTTAAAACTGCTTTTAAGATGGCAGAAGGATAATTCTCCAAGTCAGCAACCGCAAGATTTGCCAGCTGACTCTAGCCATGTTCTATGACATATACTCTATGACTATAGCCATACTGACACAGAAATATGGTGTCTCCAAATTCCCCTTAAGAATATTTTAAGCTCTCACACACAGCAGTAATGAAGTTCCATTTTTCGTCTCAGTATAACTAGATCAACAGTTGAAACGGTCAAAAAAATAATTGGGTAAGTTTATGTAGGCTTCCACCCACAATATTTTAAAATGAAAGGTAATGGTTTATGTAACAGGATTCTCATCAATTAACTCACAACAAGTTAGTTCAGAGCCCTTTAAGTGTAACTACTATCCTTTTCCTTTGAGTAGTTAATTATTATATCATGTAATTAATTTAAACAAGGAAGGAAGGTGATCACTTGTTAGCCTCTTCCAATTTAATTTATATAAAAACTAAATATATTACTTTGACAAAAACTTGTTTCACCAGACATATTATTTAGCTTGCCACATTCTCAAGATACTCTGCACACCTTATACCTTTCATTGAAATCACAACCCTACAGCTCCCACTAAAGCTACTTTATAAGGTACAATTTGTTGTAACACCTGAACAGTTTGTTCAATAACCTCTTTATTCTAACACAAAATTTACTTTGCTTTCTAAATGTTTGATAGGTAGGGCATTTGTATAGACATTTTTAGTAACTTAACTTCACCTGATGCAATTTTCAGGCTCACTTTTGCAGTAATTACATCTGAAACATGGCCAAAGTAGTTGGCCCATCAGTGGAGTCCTCAACAAGCCATCCTCCAAAGGAGAACAGTGTGCAGCCAATCCTAACAGCAGGCTTAGAAAAATCAGCAAAATGATTTTATGTAATACCTATAAATTAAAAGGATTAACAGCTAGGATTAATATTTTCATTGTGCTACTACCAGCCAAACGATTTTACCTCAGCAATGATTTGCTGTTCTGGATGAGAACGATCACACTGCCTGCTTTCTTAAGCTGCTTGGTGTTCAAACAGTTGTTATTTGGAATTGGATAAACCCTCTTACCATTTTTATGGTCCATATCGTTTACGATCTATGGGTGTAATTCTTACTCTATGCATTTATTTTACTTTTTTAACTCTTTTTGTTTCTCTCACCTCCCTTTTTTTTGCTTACTGTTGCTGCAGTAAGCAAAAGCCAGATTTTTCATTGAGTCCTGTCACACTTTTACATTTCATTCTGTAGACTTAAGCATTAACTATGTAACATCTGACAGCTCCCATTAAATTGGCACACTTAGTCTCAAGAACTGACATGACTGAGATCAACAGGAGGCAATCTGGCCTTTGGAGCTGAGAAAAGCCTCAAGACAGAACTCCAGGTTTGTTCTTACAGTCATTAGACCGAAAAAATGAGTAACACAGGTACACTTCACCTGGTCAAGGAACCTTCCATTTGTGTTACTTCAGCTGATGAAACTACTAATTGGCTGTATTCCTTTTAGTCTCAATTAATGGCAGTATAATTTGTATACTATGTTTGTTAAAACTTGTAAAGCTTTTCTTTATACAGCTCCACCATTATACAGGCCGCATCAGAGCCTCAAGTGTTTGGGTTTTTTTATCACGTTATTTGTGGGGACATGCATACACAAGCCTAGTCAGCAGCTATGCTACTAACACCGCAGCATTAATGCTACTGGAAAAAAAACAGTATCATTAGAACGTCAATTCTGTGCATTACAAGAGAGGCACAGACCAGCCCTTTGAACGTGAGGGAGCATTCAGGATACTGACGACCACACTCCCCTGACAGCGCACGGCGGGATGGGAAGGAGTACTGCCTTCAGCAGACAGCGCTACTGCTGAGAAGGAACGACAAACAACATCCTTTAAACCTCCCGCTCCCTCCTGGTTTATTATTTGGCAAAAGTTTCACAACCTGGGACAAGAGGAAATAGCCGCAAGTTGCAGCAGGGGAGGTTTAGACTGGATATTGTAACAATTTCTTCACTGAGAGGGCGATGAGAATTGAACAGGCTGCTCAGGGCAGTAGCGCTGTCACCGTCCCCGGACGTGCTCACAAACCGTGTAGACGAGGCCCTTAGTTACATGGTTTAGCGGTGGCTTTAACGGTGCTGGGGAACAGTTGAGCTTGATGGCCTTTTCCAACCCGGTTAAGTCTATGATTCTATGAACCGTGTTTTCTGAGCTCCAACAGAGTCTGCAACGCAACACGTTCCCGGGTTCGTAAATACTCATCCCAGGTGAACGACGGAGAACACCTCGGGTCACTCCCGTGCACGGGAATGAAAGAAGCTGCAGGGACACTCTCAAGAGCCGCCAGCTCGCTCCGCGCTCGCTTCAACGCGGCTGAAGGCGCACTAGCGCCCCAGACACACCCCAGAAGCAGCAGCCGCTCACCGCCGGCTGTCCCGCGGCCTGCCCCGGTCAGACAAGAGCCGTTACCGGACACCGTTACCTCACGCGTCCCCTCAGGCGGCGGGCGCCCCGAAGCACGCAGGGCGGCGAAAGAAATACAATACCAGCACGGACCATCCGCCTTACTCCTTCCGCCAGAGCAACAAGGGGCGAGTGATATCACTGGGCGTGGCGTCTCCCATAGGCCGCCGGGAGCTGGCTGCCCGCGTCAGGCGGCTTCCGGAAGAGGTTACGAGGGGCCGGAAGGTGCGCGGCGCGGCACACACAGGGCTATGGCGAAGCCTGGGGAAGGACGTCAAGGGGGCCCTAGACAACCAGCCAATTAGCAGCAAATACTTTACACAGCTGCTACCAATCAGAAGTGCCAATTTCCAAAACAAGGGTGACGAGCCAATGGGAAAACCCTGATCCGCCAGAGTCTGGCCAATCGAGTGCGGGCCATGGCCGCGGCCTCCCAGCGGCAGAGGGCGCGCTCCGGGGCGGGCGGGAGGCGGTGGCGCTGCTGAGGGCGGGGCGGCGGAGGTGCTGTCGGTGTTATCGCTGCTGTCGCTGTTGGTGCCGCTGCCGCGCTCCCGGCTCGCTGGCTCCACCTTCCGCGGCGCTGCGCTCCCGCGGGCTTGAGGGGCAGGTAGGGCCGCGCGGCTGGCTGGGTGTGTGCGCGGGCGCGCGTGCTTGCGTTTGTGAGATCCGCGCTCCGGTTCCCCGCGCGCGGTGGGGCCCCTCCGCCTGAGGGGCTGCTGTCTGGCGGGCGCGGCCGGCTGCGGCCCATGTCGGTTCCTCTGGAGGAGGGCGCCCCTGGGGCGGGTTTTCCGGCGGCGATGAGGAGCCGGTTGACTATGAACAAAGGGGGCAGTGACGGACGAGCGGGGGGCGGGCGGCGGCGCTGGGGGTCTCATGGTTCGCTGGCGGGGGCCGGGCCCGGCGGGCTGGCGGCGGCCGCTCTGCGGGAAAGCGGGTGGTTTAAGAATTCGCCTGTTGCGCTGGGACGGGAATGAGCCCTGACGCTTGGCGACCCGCAGCGGGACGGTGTCCGGCCCTTCCCCGCGTTCTCCCGGGCAGCCGCCGCGGCCGCTTCGTCCGGGACGAGTTTTTCAGTAGTTCCGTGCGCTCTGTTCTTTGTGCTCGCGTTCGTACGTCTGAGGGGAAAAACAACGCCGTTTTCCGTCGCTGTTACGTGTTAAACTCTTCCCGGTGAGGCAACGCTGATGTTGTTGCAACAGAGTCATAACTGTAATGCGGGAAGTAAAAACCAAACAGAAAAAACAAGCCCAAAATTGTAAATAACAGTCATCAGAGTCGATTACCAGAGCTTATCCTGGTGTAAATTGTGTTGATAAATCTGGATTTATTGTTACGACGCTCATTCTGCTCAAATTGTGGGTCTGTTGTGAAGGAAATGTCCAAGGGAACTGTAAACCAGAGTCTTCCTTCCTTAATTTGCTAGGGAATGAAGCTACTTTATATAGAGTGTCTTTGTTTTCTTCTGTTTCTTTCAAGGATTAAAAAAAAATTAAATGTCGGAAAGCTATGAAAATAGAAAGCAAACCTTGAACAGTATCTCACTATTTTGTGGGTATGGAACAGGTGGGAGGAGATGTAACTAAACAAACAGTTATGATAAAGAATGTGAGATGAAGAGTTGTTAAACTGTTGCTGTGTATTCGGTTTCATTTGTTTCATTTAGGTGTTTAATTTTGACAGCAGTCAAGTTTGTTTCTCTTTACAAAAAAAAAGACCCGAAACCGAGTTACGTCTGTGTTAAGTGATTTATTTCAGCTGACAGAATTGTGTGGTTGTGTCCATAAGTGTTAGATTAAGCAGAAGAATGAAAACGGTTGAAACGTGTCATGTGCTGCTTTCCCTGTTTCCCAAAGCGTGTTGCATGTTTGAAATGCCTCATGTAATGGCCCAGTGATGCACGAGCGGGCACATGGAATGTTTTGTGGTTTTGCTCTCTGAGGGAGATATTTCTAAAAAGGCTTTCTATTAAGATTTCTATTTTCCCTTCCTCATCTTAATGCCAGTCCAAGTCTTGTTGAGCAGTTTACAGTCTGCGTAAAGCACGACATAATTTGCACTGTAGTTCATTATCTGCAGTCATTCATTTAAACTGTCGGGGAGGTTAGGGTGGGCAATAAAACTGCTTTGAGATCTGCCTAGGTCAGGCTTGTTCTGTGTTGGGTAGGTGCTTGATGTCCAGTTTGATTCTTGGCTGGGCTGTAGTTGTTTTGGTCAGTGACTCCTCTCTAGGAAGTAGTAGGGATGTAGCTGCACGGGCACCGTCTCCTGTTCTCACTTGTCTCTGCTGAGGTCAGGGTCTGCTGTCCTGTGCCCCTGGGTGGGAAGTGTACGTATACGGAGAACTGTTTGGATCCAGCTGCCTGAGCACATTATGCTTGTTGCTGCTCTTAGGAGAGCAGGAGGTAGCAACAGAGATGAGGTCGTGGTTCAAGCGCAGCCGGTACCTCAGAACTACGTAGCCGCTGGCTCACTTCCCCCCTTCCTCCCCCCGCTCCTGGGGGAATGGGGAGGAGAATCAAAAGAATGTAACTCCCACGGGTTGAGATAAGACCAGTCCAGTAACTAAGGTATAACACAAACCACTGCTGCTGCCACCAATAAAAATATTG